TGCGGACGATAAACATAGGAGCATAGCACAGCGTCACGAGTACGCACGTGGACGCACGTCCAATACGATAAACCGACAGCACAACTGTCACGAATTTGTGGCCTTTACATTGTCTGCGGTTTTGTTTTGAATTCGCGAGTAGCGGTAGCGTCTTCCGGCACTTCGGGTCGACTTAGTCTGACCCGATCCAACGACTCATTAGCTTACGAAGTGAAGTGTGAATGTTCCAAGTCAATGTCGAGATTTGTTCATTTGGTATATACACGTAGGGCCCCCGTATAGGCCCCCTCATAGGCCGCCTCATAGAGCCTATAAGGGGGCTAGAATGTTAGATATTATCTAACGGTCAGATGTTTGTATGCATTTGTCTTCTTTATATTTCATGTACATCTGTATGCATTTAAAATACTTATTATATATTTATGTGTGTGTATAAATTATACTATGGTAACATATGTAAGAAGTTTAATGTAATTAAAGTATATATGTATTTGTAAAGTTGTATCGTTTGAAAGTATCGTATGCTAGAATTATATTATGTGTTATGTTTTTATATTTAATAATTATGTATTTTTTTTAGTTTATAACTGTGTTTGTGCACCTACCTCAACTTCTCAGTACAACCCTAATGTTGACTGGTAGAAAATGCTGTCAGCCTATGTATGTCCGCCTATGTACTGTTTTGTGCATGAAGTTTAAAAATAAAAAAAATAAAGAATTACTACACCTATCATAATGTATGTCCATACCCGGGGTTGACTTGGGAATAGCAAAACACATTTACCCTTTCTAATCCTTGTTTAGGGTAATTGCAATAATGAATAAATAAATCAAACATCATGGTACGAGCCAAGGTTCACTAATTTATGTAGATAATAACCGCCAAGAAACCCTGGGGTCTCCTTTGTTAACAATTTTCTCGTATATTGCCTGCCTATTAAAGAATGGATCTGAGATATCCATTTACTAATAGAAATTTAAACTTTTTAGTGGTAATCTCTGCTTACTTATTAACTCTTAATGTTTCATCTTTGCGCCATCTATCGTTCGAATTATCGTTGTAAAATGTTATTCGAAATTGTTTGTACGCTAAGCATTGCTTGAAATGCGACCTTAGATGACATGTCGTAGTTAAACGCACGCATGAGCACATGCGCGGCCCCACCCACAGCGGAGGGCCCAAACCCGTGGGTTCTGGCTAGCCCACCGGTTGGTTCTGCGTCAGATGAAGCTTTAATAGTCTCGGGACTGAAAGCAAAAACATCAGTTAATACAAGATACAAGATTGAAATGCGAATAAACAATGTAGATAAAAGACGCTGATTTTCGGCGATGTGGTAATCAGCCGTTTAACTTAGGGGTTAAAGCGTCGGTTTGCGCAAATTCCGAAGACGTAGGTTCGATTCCCACGGCGACGAAAACTGCGTACTTTTTTCTACACAATTTAATGTTCCTTCTTAAGTGCGGAGATTAGCACTATAAAAATTAAACAATGTTGTTCAAGAAAGAATAACCTGTCTTTTTCGACAGAGGGTGTGAATTCTATATAAAAATTATTGTATGAGGAACATAATGTGTTTCCAGTGTCTGAATGGATATATATATGATATCTTTATGTATAATATATATTTGAACAAAGGAAAATTGTCTGAGTATATTTATCAGTTGTCCTCGTACTGAGGATACTAGAGTATAAGCTTTGCTTAGTTTGTAAATAGATAATGATGTGTAAAAATGTAATTTGTCTTGAAATATACATTTGTTTTATTTATAAAGTTGTATCCAAGAACGCTCTTAAATTAATTAGATGTCCCAACTGTAAAGCCTTTGTAGTTATCTTTTGGCGGCTGAAGTAAATATTTTAATGGCGCAAGTACGAAGAATCTTAGTGTAAGACTATTTGTGTCCTTACCTTAGGAGATTTAATGTCCATGAGTTCCCCTTAAAACCAATATTGTGGCGGCTAATGACTACAAGTATAATAATATAGCACAGACAAGCTTTATGGCGTGCGTCAAGGATTGTCATAGATTGATTGTTACTTGTTTTTTTTTTAAATTTATTAGCATTTATAAACATTTTTATAAATGTTTTGATGTAAACTTTATTATAGAAAAATAAGCTTGGAGGGCGTGCAGGCGACATAGGCTACTTAATATTCACAGCGCAAGCAATGGCCTGATGTTCCAGACAAAACATACCGTGCCTTTGAAAGTGTGCGGCGACGTCTAGTAATTCTTTCATTAAACGGACACAAAAAATATTATTTGGGTACTAAAACAATGACCTCAAACCGATACTTGTCTCGGCGTGTGGGAGGCCTATGTCCAGCAGTGGACACAAACAGGCTGAAATGACGGTGATGAAACCGATACTCAAACGTAGATAAGATGGCGAGATTTTATACTGACTTAAAAAAAGGACGTTCTCAAATCGGTATCGGCGCCGTCATTCTTGAACGGATTTTAAAAGTTCTTTTCGCATAGCGTTCAGTTTAGTTCCCATGTAATTAATTGTGCTAGGCCCTAAAAAATACTTTCTCCCTAACGTAACACACCCTACAGTGTTTTCTCTTATATTTAAGTGACCCATCGTGGTCTTTTCTCCATTTATTCAGTTTTTTATTCGTTGACGTCCACAAAAAGGACGATTAGTACCTTTCATTTCAAACGCTTTCAAAATGTCGCAACCGTCGCTGAGACGACACGGCAATAGATTCGATCACAGGAAATGACGAAAGACTTTTGAGCGACAACTGCTTATTACAGGTGGAATAGCCTTATAGTGTATAATTTTTACTTGCAACGGATGTATATCGCTAATATCTAGTATTTACAGAGATAGTCAGTGGATTGGCATGTAGGATTACAATTCAGATAATTTCAGACACAAGTTGAATTCCATCGGAACAATAAAGGCTAGTATGCTTTAGCTGGACATTTTTGGAGGTCTTTCACGAAGCCAATGGGCTCCTAGGATTGATGTTTCCGGTTTCTGGTGTGATTCATAAAATCTCTCTCAATTTCATATTGCCCATGGTCCCGCCAACGTGTCAAAGTCAAAGTCTATCTTTATTCAATATCTTTATTCATATATCTTTATTCAATATAGGCTTAACTTAAGCTCTTATTGAACGTCAACAAAAACTCTACCACCGGTTCACTAAACTAGACCTGTACAGAGAAGAACCAACAAGGAACTATGCGGTCTTGTTCATTTTGTTATATTTTTTGTGATGCAATTATACAAACTTATTTAGGTATAAAATCAGCAGCAGCCAGGGGTCTTGCAAGTGCAGAGAAAGAGTAATTTCCACACATCCTTGTCCTCAATGTATTCTTGGACACGTTTCAAGCCACCAGTTAGGCTAGAGACTTATTAGTTTGGTTAAAATTAAGTGGTTATAAGCCCTCTTGGAACGCAAAGACCTTTTATTGTGATTTATGACCAAATATAAGTTCGGTGATTAATTAGAGGTTTGATATCGGATGTTTTTTCTAACCTGTCGCTTTAATAGAAATCCATCATCGACCTTTTGTCGTAGACGCAGTTAGTTATTTGTCGGAGTTCATGAAAAACGAATCGTATGAGACACTGTAGACCGTATAAAATTACACCACACTTACAACACTGTCTGTAACACTTAATTAAACAAACGAATAACATGTCACAGAATGTTTCCACAATACGTGGATCGTGGCATAATATTATTCGATTCGCTACAAGCAGGTAGTAGCGTAAATAGCCATTGGATAGGCTTAATCGTGGTCAAATATTTGCCAAACATTCCAATATTCAATTGTCTACTAAACGATGTCTGCTTAGCAGCAAAGAATACTCAATTTAAAATTAAATGCTTCAGGGAATTTGTACTTTGTAATTTTGTATGGCGGGACAGTCCAGACAGACAGACATCGAAATGACGATCGCAAAGAAAGCAATTGCCAAGAAAATTAAAGATCACTATTAACATCTATACAAATAAATGAAATTGGAGTGTCTGTTTGTAATATTAAAATAACCGCTTTTTATTAAATGCATATGGATATATGGGTACACGGTAAATGTACCAAAATAACATTTTTTACAATTTTTGTCTGTCTGTTTGTCTGTTCTGTCCGGTTAATCTCTGAAACGGCTGGACCGATTTGGACGGGACTTTCACTGGCAGATAGTTGATGTAATAAGGAGTAACTTAGGCTACTTTTATTTTAGAGTTTTTTTTTTTTATTTTAAATTCCACGCGGACGAATTCGCGGGCACAGCTAGTATTAATATAAAAGAGGTGATAATAGTTTTTAAAGCACAATACTCTAAAATTATAGTGGACCACAACTTAATCTATTACTAAGGTCATATCTCGTAGTATACATAAATAATTGACAAACATGAAGGTTTATAATTCTAGTTCAATTATGCATTCTGTGACTGTCGACACATATAAACATACACTAATGCTTTACGCAAATCACAAAAGATTAGAGTTGCGAGTTACCAACCACAATTGATATTAATAACAGTACTATCAACATCTAGGAAACAATTCATTTTATTGAACATTGTTAATAAATCTGACACGGTGTTGCAGTTGCTAAGTCATTGGCTTCAACCCCCGGGATCGTGGGTTCGATTCCCACACGGAAAAAGTATTTGTATGACCCACAGATAGTTGTTCCGGATCTGAGTGTTTATTCCCAAGGAGGATTAACGTAAGGTAGGAAGCCGGCCGTGTAAAACCTCGTATAAAACTACTTACATCTTCATTCATACATTGTTCGCGGAAGTGTAATAGTTCCACTTAAAGCCGGTCTTCTGTGAGTAAGGTACTTCCCCGGATGGGCTTACCCGTTCGTGCAACTGTAGCAATAGGTGTCATAATTTTAATGAGTATTCTGAAATTTTACACAATTCATACAGCTAACAAGTGTCTGTCGCAATGATATCGACATAATTTGGTTGTGGTAATTTACAGTAATGGTGCGAATCACGAGGACTTCACTATGGCGGCCAGCCGCCAGATCCGGCTGCTTCTTTGGAAAGATTATCTTATGAGGAAGAGAAATCCGGTGAGTGTATCAACCAATTGTTTAACTAAAATGCGTGTTACATTATTCAATTTTAGGAAGAAAGTCTGACCTATCTTCTAGAACACAACGTTAAATGATTTGTCTCTGTTCCTACAACAGCTATTATTGTATAAAATATTTTTTACTGCTCTTAGCAATTCAACTTGCTCATATATTACTATAAAGGTTTATAAAATTGTTTACTAATTAATATTTATTTATTACGAATTTTGTAATAATTATTGTCATAATCGACTTAGATACTCGGCTACGATTTCAATCTATATTTACACTACGTATTACAATTACTATGACGCAAATGTTCTCATCATTTTTCAGATAACTTTGGCGGGAATTGTCTGGGGAACTTTGGTGATGATTAGTTTATACATCGTTAGAATTAATGTCGACAATCAAGATTTTCCCACCTGTGAGTACTTCCACGTATTTTCTTTGCTACATGGTCTTCAATAACACTACACCAATACTACTAATTTTCTACAATTGCTGTTATTGTAATAATATTTAATTATAACAAGGCAGTTATTTTGTAAAGTATATACCAGAAGTACCATAATTACGTTACCCTTGCTTAACCCACTGCTGAGCAAAGATCTCCTTTGGACATCAGTTGTTAGGGTACAATATACGTGATTGTTCCTCGACTTGCATTTATTCTTATTTTCTTTTAACCTCTAACTGGAATCGTTATCAATCATTATGATTAAAACATTTATTAACCTATGGAGAATAACATTTTAGTATACATTTTTTCTTTAACACTTGTCACATAAAATCTGTAGACTATAAAAATGTAAAGCAGTATAAAAATTTAATTCTTGTCACATAATTCAAGTTCTCTGACTTTCGTTATTTGATTTGAAACATTGTATTATTCACAGGCCAGTTTCCAGCCAGAGCACTGCCGAGCGCTGGCATACTAACGTTCCTCCAGTCTTTCATATGTAGCGTCAACAATGAATGCTTACCAATGGACCAGTTCGAGGAAATACCCTCGTATGCCAATTCCAAGTAAGCATCAAATTAAGTCTCATTTTCTCCCAATTTGCTTCTCACTACCGATTTATTCGGTATGGTGTCATACTGTATGCTATCGTGTTTCTCATCATTGATATAGAAAGAAAGAAAGAAAATCCATTTATTTACCAAAAGAAGGACCACACAATAAAAGAGAGAGAAAAAAACTAAAATTAACAAATAATAAAATAAATAATAAAAATACTTATAAATAATTCAGTAAAGCAAAAGAACACGAATACATATAATCACCATCATTGAAATAATCATCATCCTCCCCAATATAAAGATGTCTTCATCCTTATTATATTCTTTGACGACCCGAATGGCGTTGTGAGTAGTGTACCTGCCTCCTGCGTCAGAGGGTGTGGGTTCGATCCCTACTACTGGAAAAATATTGTGTGATGAACATAGTGTTTTTCTAGTGTCTGGGTGTTTATTATATATGTATAATATGTATTTATTTACAAAAGAAAAGTATTTCAGGTATGTTTATCAGTTATCTTGTACCCATAGTACAAGCGTTGCTTAGTTTGGGACTATAGAACGCTGTGTAAAAATGTGTCCCAAAATATTTATTTATGTCTTCACAGATAAAGTTTCGCTATTACCAACAGAATTATTATGACATGTACCACCATTCTTGTCATACATTACGCTGGCTAATATGGCGTATATTACGTAACTTTTATATAATTTATAAATCCATCGTTTCCACAGGTTGACGGAACTGAGGCGGCATTTCTCACCTCTGTTCTCCAATTCGTCCTTCCTGGACACAGCCGCAATGGCTCCGGACGCCATGAAATTGCTCGCAACACTATCCGATGTCGCTGATGTACCAGAATTCATGCATATAGCGAGTAAGTGGAAAGTTTATGAAACTATTTTGTTTGCGGGATGTCACGTTTGAAAGTCTTACTTTTTACAATTGCTTTTATAATTGGTACGTGGCCATTTCATTTCATTACAATTTCATTTCAATGTAATTATAGCCAATACAATAGCCAAATCAAACAAGAAAGGCTGTGGTAGGACACTATCTACTTCTTAGATATGAGAACTTATATAGTCCAAACGTGACGGGTTTGTCGTGGTACATAAGAAAAATCCGAAAGCGGAAAATATTTATCCAAAACGAAAGAGAATTAAGTAAAAATTGAAATTATTCAATAACTAGATAACATGACGCGTTCACTAAATTATAATGGATTCAGATTTTACACAACCAGTTAGTTCATTAGCTGTACCTATTATAATAAAGGTCTATTTTATGTGAAATTCATTGGATTTATAGTGATGAGAGTGACAGATTTGATGACTCCGTGGCGCAGTTGCCAACGTATTGGCTTCGGCGTCGGGGGTCGTGGGTTCGATTCCCACACGAGACTACTATTTGTGTGACCGACAGATAGTTGTTTCGCATCTGGGTGTTTGTCCACGTGATATTTATGTTTGTAAAACGTCCTTACAACACAGGATAATGTTATCCTAAAGTAAGGGCAATGTTTTAAAAATATAAACTTAAAAAAAAAAAAACAGACTGTAATAATAATAATAATAATCGTTTATTTTTCTAAATATACAAACACTGCACAAAATATTTAAAGAGTAACATAAATAGAAAAAAAAAAAAAACAATTATTTAGACAAAAGGGTCAAGGACTCAAAGTTGTAGCACGGAAGGTACCAACTTTGATATTCTGTCCTAGCCAGACATAATTTACATAAAGAACACGCTTTATAATAGGTACGTCCTAAAATATTGTACATTAACTATTTATAGCAATATTGCTATCCAATTAATATAAATATTTACTATTATATTTAAAAGACTGGGTACTCGAAGCCAGTAATAGTACTAGTAGGAGTACTATTACGTTTTTTTAACACTTAAAAATAAATCGTGACGAAGATTTTCACTATTATTTTCGTCACTGATCCTTATTAGCTTTGATTGCCCAAATTTTTTTAATAAATTTTATATATTATTTAATAATTTATATTGATAAATAAACACAAATTACAGAAAACGGCCTCCGTGTTAAGGAACTGTTCAGAAATCCCAACAAAGCAAAGCGGTATTTATCACAGCGAATGGAACTTGGTGAACCAATTGCCAACAGCTTGATGACTTCAGACCTAAGTTTGGAAGGTGTAAGTAGTGATTCTCAATATTGTTTCATATTTGCTTTCTTTATTTCATCTGATTTTATCGTTTTGGTCATGTCATGTGTTCATAATCTGTGCTAGTGTTTTGTCACAATAATTGAATGAAAATTATTATGATTAATTGAGACTTGTTTTTATTGCAGATAATGCAGGGAACCTTCAATATATGCGATCCGGAATCTATTAGTAAGACTATTAAAATGAACAACGTCACACATTTAGATGCGTTTGTGCGTAAACTGTGTTCATTGTCCTCTAAAGAAACGCAAAGGGTATCCATGGACTTACTGCTAGAGTGTGATCTGGGAAAATATCTTCAAATGGTGAGTTTACCAAATTTCTCGGAACTGTATACGCTACAATTTCGAAACTCTAAAATTTCGTGTTCCTGGTAAATAATTTCTTAGGTAATTAGTTATTTAAAAACCTTATGTAGATATTTTGGAACTCATACGTTATATCATGAAGATACAAATAATTCAGTAGGCCAGTAATTTTATACCCTTTAGACATCATTTTTAGACATAGTTTTTTTTTTACGTGAAAAGTCAAGCGAGCAGACGGTTCAACTGATGTTAATCGATTACCACCTTTAATGCCTTTAACAAGCAATTATGCAACGTAATATCCACCGTTTAGCTCAGTGGCTAGAGCTTCAGGCCGCGAATGACGAAGACGTGGGTTCGATTCCCACAGCGGCGACAATCTTTTCGTACTTTTTCTACATGTTTTAACGTAATATCGTTAAAGTTTTGATGAAAAGATTTCTGATATTAATAGAAAATTTAAGAAATATAATTTTATTACAGTTAGGTAACATGTACTACAAATTGTCGAAGGATGACCGATTAACGGAGCTGGGAAAGATGGTAGCAGCAGTACTGAATATGATGTCACTTCAAAGTTTCCTTCCAGTAGAAATAACAGCAATATTTCAAGGAGAAACGCCAGACTTCAGTTACATTGACTTAGACGTGTTAGTATTTTTTAAAACGAAAAAATAATGTTTAAAGTTTTATTTTAGTCAGAATGCTGTCCAATATTATTCTGTGAAGTTGTTATGGCAACAGAAAAATATGACGCCTCCTTATGAAAAGCCTTTTTGGAAGCAATGTATTTAACAACATGTACAAGTAGGCAGTTGAAAATAAAAATTGGTATTAAATATTTCATTGGTTCAGGTTTCAGGTATTTTGATTAAAAAAAAATATTTTTTGTCCTATCTTTTGGGCATGCTATATTTCTAATTACAATATTTCTCATAAAAAATAAATTATCGTAAAATTTTCTAGTACTTTTACTACATAACATTAAATATATGTCATTATTCTACCAATCTTCTAATATTACTTATTTTTAATTATAAACATACGATATCTGAAATATCGGACACTTAATCCTAAAAAAATAACTAACCACACTTTTCTTTTCAGTGTATCCAACGTTCTGGACTACTTTGAGCCAAACTTAGGTGACACGGAATCTTACAAATCGATGAGGAATTTCGCAGAATCCTCCGTAGTGGTAATCAAATATCTGAATAAGTTCCTAGAAAAACAACGAAAATACTCCGGTGTTACTGATTCGCTGAATGAAGTTAGTAAACATGTTAATATAAAATCGGCAGTTGAGAGCGTTTCCAACATTTTTTCTAATGCGATGGAGGTTTTTGATGATTTTGCTGGAAATGGTACGACCATTGATATATTTAACATGTGAGTATTAATGTCAAAAACAATATTTTTGGTTTGATAATTAACTTAATAGTTGTTACTTTCTGGTTTACGAGTACATTGATTATTGTAAAGCTTTAAGCTACGGTGCCTGAATTTAAGTTTAATATTTATCCTGGCTATACCTGCGCAATCTGGCTATATTCTCGTCGAATATACCTCAATGTTTGAAGACAAAAGTCTTCAATCAATGTGTGTTGCCAGTGATGACCTACGGAACCGAGACGTGGTCCTTCACTGCTAGCCGTATGAGGAAGCTCAAAGTCGCTCAGCGAGCTATGGAGCGGGCTATGCTCGGTATTTCTCTGCGTGATAGAGTTCGTAACGAAGACATCCGCAGTAGAACCAAGGTAACCGACATAGCTCAGAAGATTAGCAAGCTGAAGTGGAGATGGGCCGGCCATATAGCTCGAAGAACCGATAACCGTTGGATAAGAAAGGTTCTCGAGTGGCAGCCTCGTACTGGCCATCGCAGTGTAGGACGACGTGTGCAAATGTGCGGGAAGTCGATAGATGCAGGTGGCTCAGGATCGTACTTTGTGGCAGTCTATGAGGGAGGCCTATGTTCAGCAGTGGACTCAAACAGGCTGAAATGATGATGATGATATCTGCGCACCCTGCTGATTGAGTTTAGGTGTTGTGTAGGTTCGGATCGGAATCGAACCGAACCCTACTTCGACGCCTTCAGCTAGAAGTCAAAGATCGTGTATCGGAACACCGACATACAACGTGGGACACTCTCCTAGAGGACATCGAGCCATCGCACACCGCCTACTGGCGGTTGACCCGCAGTTTGAAAGCAGACCCCCGCGAATCTCTACCGCCATTAATGAGACCTAACAGCCCTAGATGACTCCGAAAAAGCCGAATGCCTTGCGGACAACCTAGAGCAGCAATGTACGCCATCGCGCGAACACACCGATACAGTCCACCTAACGGAGGTGGACCGTGTAATCGAGACTAGGGCTGCGCTTCCCCCGGAAGGCGATACTTTAAGTTCAGTGACCCCCGAAGAGGTCCAAGATATTATTAAAAATTTAAAACCGAAATCCGCCCCGGGCCCAGATAAGATCAGTAACAAAATTCTCAAAGCTCTCCCTGGGCCGCTTATCTGTTTACTGGCGACCATTTTCAACACTCTACTCTCCAGTTGCTCCTTTCCGGACGACTGGAAACAAGCCACGGTTATCGGCATTCGCAAGCCGAATAAACCAGCCAACCAGCCCTCTAGCTATCGTCCCATCAGCCTCCTCAGTTGCCTGGGGAAGCTCTACGAGCGGCTCTTATTAAACAGGCTCAAAGAGCACGTGTTTTCCAGCGGCCTTCTGCCGACGGAACAATTCGGCTTTCGAGCTAGACATTCCTGTCCCGATCAACTATTCCGCCTAACGGAACATATCCTAAAAGGCCTAAATCACCCTAAACATATTAGTACAGGGGCTCTTTTCTTCGATGTCGCTAAAGCATTCGACAAGGTCTGGCACAACGGCTTGCTTTACAAGCTGTACACACTCAAAGTGCCAGATAGGCTCGTACACACCATCCGGGCCTTTTTGTTGAATCGCTCCTTTCGATATCGAGTCGAGGGCACCCTCTCCACAAGCCGCCGCCTCACGGCCGGCGTACCACAAGGCTCCTGCCTCTCACCTTTGCTCTTTACGCTCTACACGAGTGACATACCCAAAGACCCCCACATCAATCTCGCGCTTTTCGCGGATGACACCGCTCTCTTTTATTCAGACCGCAACCTTAGAATACTAACCACTCGACTCCAAAGCGCCGCCGACCGCCTCGGCGATTGGTTCCGCAAATGGAGAATAGAAATAAATCCCGAAAAAAGTGTGGCGATTCACTTCACACGAAGTACTTACCCGTCACATCTTTATAATGGCCCTCGCCAATGCAGAAAGTTGGGGCAAATATCCCTTTATGGCCAACCGCTCCCCTGGGAGAAAAAGGTCAAATACTTAGGAGTCACTTTCGACTCGCGTATGTCATTTACTACGCACATTAATAACGTTCGTAATAGAGCCGCGTTCGTCTCCGGCCGGCTACACAATTTAACTAACGCTAAAAGTAAAATGCCCTTAAGGCACAAATTATTATTATATAAGACCTGCGTACGACCTATTATGTCCTACGCATGCATGATCTTCGCCCACACGCACCCTACTCGCTTGTACAAGCTGCAAATAATACAAAATAAGTTCATCCGCCGTGCAACCGGTGCGCAGTGGTATCAACGCAACGTCGATCTGCACAGCGATTGCAGACTCCCGACGATTCGCGAATATTTCAAAGATCTGACAAAACGGTTCTTCGATAGAGCCGAACATCATCCCAACCCTCTGGTGGTAAGCGCAGCAAATTACCAACCCAACACAAACGCGAACGTCAACAAGCGTCGCCCGCGAAACGTCCTCATCGACCCGGTCGCGGAAGGGGACTTAGATACGCCGGACCCACCGCCGGGGGTCCCGCCGGATAACACTACACCCACAGCTAGTGTACCAACAAACACAATAGTTCGCCCTCGCCTCCGAGCACGGTGAGACCAACACAACGCGTACACAAGGTACACCCGCGTTCCAGGGCGATTCTCACCGCCCGCAGCCACCGATTAGCTAAAAACACAGTCGACGGCCATCGGGGTCTCGGTCCGCACCGCAACTTCGATGGCCCTTAGATGACATGTCATAGTTAAACGCACGCATGAGCACATGCGCGGCCCTACCCACAGCGGAGGGCCCAAACCCGTGGGTTCTGGCTAGCCCACCGGTTCTGCGTCAGATGAAGCTTTAATAGTCTCGGAACTGAAAGCAAAAACATCAGTTATAAAAAAAAAGTGTTGTGTAGGAGTTGTTAATTTTTTTGAAGTTAAAATTAATTTATGAATTTAAATTTAACAAATTAAAGTTAAGTGCAATTCAAAAAGACAATTTGTTCTATGGATCGGTGCCAAGTAAATATACTTCATGATATACACGCCAGCTTTTTTTATTGTCATTTAAATATTACCAAAAAAAGTTAAGTAACTGAAAAAACATACTATTTTAATATTGCTACCATTTCTAATTAATTTTTCAGAATGTCCCAACTTATGAATTTCGTGCACAAGTGGCTGCCAGATAAAACTAAACATGACGTTCTATTTTACGCAACGTTGGTAACGAAACTGATTGAAGGCACGGACAAAGTAATTTTTATAAATGTGTACCTAGAAGAATTAGTTTACAACGTTTCAATGAGACATCCGCTAGGAGTGAAGACATTACTGGATCTACCACCGGGCGTGTTTGGAAATGGTTTGGATGCTCTAACTGACGCCGAAAGGACTCAGGTAAAAGTCCTAAATATTTTAGAAACCAAAAAAATATAATTAAAACCGACCAAGTGCGAGTCGGCGCACGAACGATTCCCTATCATTATCTATTAAAACGCCAAAAAATAATTTCTGTTGTATGAGAGCCCTAATTAAATATAACAGAAATACATCATCTGTGAAAATTTCAACTGTCTTACTGTCACGGTTCACGAGATACAGCTTGGTGACAGACAGGCAGCGGGGTCCAGCAGTATATTATATGTCTTATCTATGGCGGAGACTTAGTAACAGGGACTCTGTTCATTTTCCCTTTGGTTACGGAACCTTAAATACAGTAATAATCCACAGAACATAATTCAAACAACATCCATTTATTAAAAACATTTTAATTGCAGATGCTCACGTCAAATTTAAACTCTCCTGGTGAGATGTTCTGTGACAACAATAAATTAAAAAACTTTTTTAACGTAAAAAATGAAGAAGCCGTAACTCTACACGATCTGCTTTGTACGGCTTCTTGGAAGGATTATATTATAGATTTGATCAGTACTTTTGGAATCTATGAAGTGAAGAATAATGTAAGTACACGTCAATTTTGCATGTAACACAAATACGGTATGGATTAATATGTTCGCCAATATACCATATCATTCTTTACGCTACTTAATGTTATATCATCAATATTTTTGTTATCTAACATGCGAAATTGTTTGCATACATTTTTAGTACCAAAATTATATTCAAATTCAAAATCAAATATCTTTATTCAATTAGTATTCAATAAAGAAGCATTCCACTCACTTATTTATTGTCAAAATATTACCACCAGTTCGGAAAAGGAAAGCAACTGACCTGAGAAGAACTAGCGAAAGAAACTCAGCGGGAGATTTTTTTTTGCACCATTATTTGACAAATAAAAATGCTTACAATGTATTCAGAAGATGTTCACAATATATTAGAAACACACATAATCTCTCCGTGTCCTAATTATATTCGTTTTATACACTTACAGATCAACACAATGGCTTCACTGTTCATACAAGAAACTCTAGGGAAGGACACAACTTCTAGACTTTATACATTAGAACATGATTTCCAAGTACTAAAGAATTTCACACGAGCGCTGGATAAAATAGATAGCCAAATACCAACCGTGGTCAATTGGAGCAACATATTTGACGTCGATAAAAATTTGGAGTTTATGAAAATAATTCGTGATAAAAGAAATTTGGGAAATCAAATTTTGTAAGAGCAACATACATTAGTTTTTCTTCTGTTTGTGAGCCATAATAACACAATAAGCAGTGTCAAGCTGTATTTCTCGGTTCGAGATCTTAGATGAAATTAACATTAATAAAAAAGACTTCTTAATAAGATATAAAATCTTATAGGAAAGTTTTTAGTGAATGTGTTAATGTCGTTTTTGTCTTATATCATCGTGTTATAACTAGTATCATAGTTAGCAGTGACGAAATTATAAGACACTTAGTTATTTGAGTTCAAAGACAATACCTCTGAACTCCGTTCCGTGGACTACACGTGATATATTATTATCTCTACATATTATTTCTTAAAGGGGTTCTCTCGAAACGCCATTAGTTCCTTCATCAAATTTAATGATTCAAAAATCTGTCTTGTAAACATATTTTATACAAATTAACTTCTTATAGAGTGTGATAACTTATAGATAATGCCATCTATTGTGAATTTTTGTAAATGAAAGATAATGAGGTAAACTGAAATCTTATCCTTTAAACGAGCAATTCTTGTGTATATATATATATATATATATATATATATATAATCGGAATCTCGGCAACGGCTCCAGCGATTTTCATGAAATTTAGTATGTGCATAGATTCGGGGGCGAAAATTCGATCTAGCTAGGTTTCAATTTTAGGAAATGTCCTTTTATCCCTGTTTTCAGGGAATGAAAAATATAATTCGAATATGACGGTAAATTTCGCCGCAAGAGAAAATGTCATAATAGCTCGGTCGGTAATCGGGCGGCCCCAACAGACGGCCGTGGTTCGCGTCACGATCATTTACACATTTTTTTTTTACTTTTTTTTCGATTACAGATCATTGCTTTCTTTATTTTTAATTTTTTGTCGATTTGTTATTTTGTTACTTTTTTCCCCTTTTTGTTTAAAGTTCTTTCTTTTGTGAAAAACATCAGTTCATATTTTCTTATTATTACGTCGGTAAGATCGAAAAATATTATGCATATTTCATTACGCAGTAATTTGTATCTAAATGTAATTTCCAAAATACACGATTTACGAAAAAAAAAAACAAACCGAGCAAAGCTCGGTCCTCCGGGTACTTAACCGTTATCCTTCAAAATTGCATTTAATTAATAAATAGTTATTTGCACGGTATTATATGAGTATTTGTTTAATAATCATGGTACTCGTGCAAAAGTTTCACACGGGTCAAATAGTATTATTTAATTTTCAGGGTAACGGTTCACGGAGCATTAGCTAAGGAGGTGGTTAAACAGAATCCCATTTTGGAGTTCAAGATTGCGCCCTTCATAATCGATGCAACAACGGTAATAGCAGCGCTCAACGATGAGATAGATGAAACGCCTCAAGATGTAGCGGATGCGACGAAAAAGCTTTACCCGCAGATACTGCGTACCATTTTGACTACTGCACTTGACGAAACAAAGGTATTATGACGACCATTTGCACAAATAATATTATTTCTTTGGCAAATCTTTTTTTATGTTGTCAACAAGTTCACGTGATGACAAGTGATTACCATTATGTTGAGAGATACGACGATTCTAAATGGTATTTTTTTAAAACTTGTCCTTTTCAGACATACAAGCTGTTATCTACCTACAGTTTGGATACAATGTGCACAGGCGTCGATAACGCTTCCTTGTACTTGAGTTTTCCCACAAACACCGATAAAATTGGAGTCACTACAGCCATATGTGACATAAGTAAAATCTTCGAAAAAATGTTGAAAAAAAATTCGCATCTCGGAAAAGCGGTAAATAAAAATTCAATAAGTTACACGTAAGGATTATCAGGTCCTCTGACGAAAACAAAACATCACCCATATTATATCCTTAACTCTTTTTTAAGGTATTCTCCACCAAAGAATCAATCCCAAGAGATAAAACGCTGAATGCATTAGTAGCTTTTACATGCTTATATAAGAAATTACTAGATATTACAATATCCAGTGTTAAGTCTTAATATGCCAATAAATTTAACTTGCAAACGAATCTCATTACTTAGGTGGGACTAATTATGTCTTCAAAAGACAACGAATTGTTCGGCATCCAATGGACCAAGCTAATAACGGACCTCAAGACTTTGTATGTGAAAATGACTCTGTTCTACCCATATTTACTCGAGTACCGAAGCTATGGAATGGCTGACAACACTCGTTCTGAAGTCGCCACACTGTTCAAGAAAGTCAAAGCGTATTGGTTCAAAACAAAACATTTGGACAGAAGCATTCGCTTAGGGTACGTATTTGGTTAGTTTAACAGCTTTACCTTTTAACTTGCAGCGTTTAATAGTTTAACTTTTCTTCTAGTTCTGTTAATTTATTAGAGACAGATTATTGGAGATAATTTAAATATAGCATGACGATTGATGAAGAAAGTTTTTGTGTTCCTAACTATTATTTTAAAAGGGAAGAATTTGGATACGCCATGAGCATTTTCTTAAAATTATTCCTTTAAACAATATTAATTAACGTTATAGCCAAGCCATAGATTATACACTGATATAATGACAGCTAGGCTTTGGTTTTTGTGAAGCGAGTTATAAAATCAAGATTAATTTTCGCTTCAGTTTTTTTGATCTTTACTTTTTTCTTCGTAATGTTTACTTCGAAGTCAAAACCGTTAGTAATTTTTTTCAGAATTAAACTGACACTGGAAATCCTGGACTTAATGGATCGAGAAATTTTTGATATGAAAAGTGAGATCTGGTCGCAGTTGAAATACATTTTCAGCGTTGTATCCGGCCCCTTGTCAGTTATAGATGATTTAGTTAAGCTAATTGGAGGTAGGTGTTTATATTACAAATATAATATAAAGATAAATATTATATATACAATATTTGCAAATATTTGCAATGTGTTATACATATGAACCTTCCTCTTGAATCACTCTATCTAGTAAAAAAAAACCGCATCAAGATCCGTTGTATAGTTTTAAAGATCTATGTAGTAATGCACAGCAAAGAGACGTTTACATTTCAAGTGACATTTTACCACAGTCACTCACTTGTTTTGCCTTCCCGAACTTTATCGTATGGTATTAAAGTTCAAATTGACTTTTTAGTATTATTACGAATCTTTTGTATGGGAATATAGAAGTGCTGTTTTAAGACTTTTTCAGGATTTTTTTAAATTTTTTCGTTCATAAGCACGTTCTCCTGACAAACACAACAAAAAAAAGTGAAATCGGTCCAACCGTTCACACGTGATGGCGTGACCAAGGGAAATAGAGATTCATTTTTATATATATAAGATAATATAGTTAAGTCCCAAGAACGTATATTTATTTATTATATTAATATTATTAAACTTTTTATATTAAAATGATTAACAAACCCACATTAAAAATTGTTTGTCTTGTTTTTCCAGCAATTTGGAAAAATGAAAGTTTTATATCTACCTTACCTGCGGCTACAGTAATAAGCTTAAGTAAAATCATACCTAATGCTGCACAGTTCATCTATGAGGGGACAGACATAATTGTAGAAGGCCATATCAAAGTAAGTTGATTAACAAATTCGGATAAGCTATTTTCTTAGAACTGAGATTGAATAGTCTTGCAATATCCTTTTGAATATCAAATAGCATTGATGTTTTCACTTATTTCTTTTACTATCCCCATGTCTGTCTCTGTTTCTGTTGCCAGGATTTTTAATTTTGGGCATTAGCGTTTTATAATTCTAGGTGGAGCCAATCATAGAAATCATGAACGCCAATATATCTTGGCCATGTTCGAGTACCAGCCTCGCTGACTTGTTACCCTTGAGTGACACCTCGAAAGAGACCTTGAGAGCTTTGGAAACCATGTTGTGCATGCCACAAGATGTACAAAAGGATTGGATATCGTATTTAAAATCGAGAAACACACATAAACTTGTAAGTGAAGTAAGCGATTTTTCGTTAGAACAATTTATCTGGCTGAAGGAAGACACAGCTTCATCGTTGACAGCTCGACCGAGATAGCTTTATAGTACTACTTAACAAGTTAGAAGCTCACCTCTAAGAAGATAACAACAGAAGTACAAAACCACAGATATTGTGTAATAAAACAACAGACCGCGATGTTACCTTGCTATTTGGTATATGTTTATTAACCATTTACATTCACGTTAAATACTCGGCGTCTTTTCTTTCATGAATATTTATAATAATAATAAATGTAACATATCGCGAAGCAGGGCTTTAGCTATCATTCTTACTTCTTTTAACAGTGACTGCAACCCAATATCTCTTTTTTCAGGAACACCAAACTAGAAACAGTACAGATTTTGGACCTCATGTTTTTCTCCGATTCTCGGCAGCATTCGACGCTTTGATAGACGATTCATACATACTCAAAGACATCTTGATGGACGCTCTGGATGAAACGCCTGGTCGTTTGACTTTGATGACGGCATGGAAGCACGCCGTTGAATCATTTAACACCACCAACAGAGACAACATTCTAAGGTAATCTTGTTAACATTACTGATTAAAAGTTCTATAATATTTGATAATTGGTTTTATGTGCCTGAGCCTCGTAAAAGCTGCTTTTCTGGAAATAGTTTCATTTAATAATGGTGATGTCTATATGTATAAATTCAATCTAAGTATTATGCTTTCTCATATGCGATGTTAAATTGTTTGATTGTTGAAATACACACTGCAGTATTTCAGAATCTTGTATCTTGTATTAACTGATTTTTTGCTTTCACTCCCGAGACTATTAAAGCTTCATCTGACGCAGAACTGGTGGGCTAGACAGAACCCACGGGTTTGGGAACAATCAGCAGCTAAGAACGATAAAATTACTCGTAAATAGTAATTCAAAATATTTTTGTCGTTTTGACATTAAGACTATCGCCCATGGACACTAACAAAACCATTTGGTTGTGATAGTGATTCTTACCATTAAAAGTCACCCCAGTTACCTAAACCTAATTTACGGAAAGCTAATATATAAATGTTTCTATATTAAATCTATCTTCTGTAAGGCTATGCTACTTCTCCACATGAACTATTTATTGTAAACCAGCCTGAAACACCGGTTATAAAATATCAATACAAATATCTATACTATAGATTCTATAGGGACAATCTTAACATTTGGTCATACTTCTCTTTTTGCCAAGTACCTTATTTGCTAAGTCATAGTTTACTTTCAAGCAATGCAAACATACCCGCGGTAGTCAGAATAGTGCAGTTGATTTACCGAAGCATAAAGGGGCGGGTTTCAAAAGTAGTTTCCGATTTAGCGCGTCAAAGATATGGAATGATTTACCACCACCACTAAAAATGAGTGTGTCGAATTATAATTTTACAAAACAACTCAGGCTCTCCTTGTTCAATAAACAAAAGTTGTGTTCGCTTCAAATTCAAAATTAAAGCAAATTAAATACTAATTTTAACTTAGTGACTATCTTTTAACTTTAATTTATCAAATTTTTAATTTCACATCGTATTTTTCACTGTATTCGATTTGATTTTTTTGTTCTCTTGTCTAAATCTTCTTTTGAGTCTTCTTAATTTGTGTTATTATCGTTATTACATTACATTATCAAATACAACTTGAACAAAATATGCCAACTACCGCTAATATTTGTAAATGATGATGTAAAGCTTTACTAAGGGATAAGCTGAAAATCAGCACTGAGAAATTCTCAGAAATCGCTGAGCTTATTACCTTTTTGCCAAAATGTTATTTATATAGTTTTTTTGTGTATCATAGTTTGTTTAATTTTTTTTTTCATAATTTTTCTATGTAATTTTCTATTTTTTTTGAGTTATGGAAAATAAAGTATTATTATTTACTAAAGTATTATTAAACTTACAAACATCTACTTGCAGGAAGTTATTCTTCAAAGTAGATAAAGTACTCAACTCAATCGAAGTTAAAGTCAAAGGTGGCGTACCGCTGAACACCGTATGGCGGAATTTTGTAAGGTGCAGTAGCGAAGAGCTTCTAGAAGACGGCTGCAGAGAGATCGGGCGCGCGACGTGGCTAAACATTCTCAAGTTCCTCTCGGTCACCATGAGCAACGTCGCGGGGGATCTTTTGAATTACTTTCGCGAGATCAACGGTAATAATGTATATTTTTCATCGTTTCGATATGCCGCATTCCCTGATCTATCTCACATTTGTAACTAGCTTATGGTGGCTGTTATCACGAAAGGAATAGTTTGAACAGTGTAATATATTTGTACAATAAATGTTTTCTTTATTTCTTTCTATATCTTTAAATATGGGATAGGATTTAAAAACTATTAGTAGTTTTATGCTCAGTAGGGAAAGGACGGCTGTCGTTTCAAACTCACCTTTAGATTTATAATTTGATTATTTCAGTAGTTATATTAGTGTAAATTGGGGAATTTGTATGATTACGCTAACTATACAACATCGATTCTTCTTAATATAAGGGTCTCCATATACACAAGATCTTTCTTGTCGAAATTATAGCATGACAGTAAAAGTTTTTGATAACTTATGTTTCGTTAAATTTTTTTAGAACCCGATTCTAATATCCTTCAACTTGCGGGCTTTACAAAGAAGACTGGCCTATATTTACTGTACGAAAGGTTACCAGATTTTCTCGGCGTACTGGCTAATTCATACGGAGACTACGGCTTCATGACACAGGTATTTATGTTAAAATATATAATATATACATACAACGATAGATAAACGTACAAAAATAATATCTACACGAAAATTTTAATGTCAGTAATTGTAGTCAAAAAATTATATTTTAGATTCGTCGGGCAGGTCTCAGCAACTTTTGGGATTGTGAAGCAGTTGTTCAGAATCTTAAACCGGCACCAGGTAGTCTAATTGATGACACTATCATTAGAAGAGTCCAACCCTTCGTATGTCCATCTCTTTTATATTGGATATCTCTCCCACGAGGGGATAACGCTATACTGGACGTAGTTGCTAAACCAGTAAGTAGAGTAACTTATGATATAATATTTTAAACTGATACTAATAAAACGGTATCAAGTATTAAATTACTAAAATTGATGTTTTTACACTTGTTTATTATACACGTGTCATATTTTATAAGCTCATGAATGTTGTAATGATATATTTCTTCCTTTTTCAGCAATATTATTTCTTTACATCGCTGCTCGATGATTTAAACAGCACCTTTGTAGATGCCTACATGAATACAAATGACCTTAAAAACTTTATAACTGAATTATCATACAATACAACTATCACACAAGAAACCATTAACATTGAAAAACTCCGAGAGAAACTAACAAAATCTCTCGACAAATTGCTGAGCCATAAAATTAACGGTTCGAATCCAACATACAATATGTTTAATGAAGGAAACAAGAAACTGGTGACGTCTACAATATATTTAACAAAAATCGTTGTAATAATTAATAAACTACTGACAAATGTAGAGGAAAACGCAATATCGGACAAAACTGTATTAAATTCAGCAGAAGAAGAAATGAAAATGGTAGAAGATATTTCAAATTTAAAAAGAATATTTAAAAGGAGGCCAAAAGATGGAATAGCAGTGTTTTTTGACGCAATCACAAATCACATTTGGCAAGAGGAACAGGAACATAATTTGCCAAATGTGTTTGAAGCATTATGCAACAATTTGAACAATAACGAAACAATGAAAAGGATTTTAACCGAAAATTCCAAGGTGCAGTCGCAGATTTGTGCAATGAAATACAATTTAATTCTGTCCAAATACGGTAGCAATGTAGATAATGATTTTGAGAACGCCAAGACTAGTCTGACCAATCTTGTGAACGTATTGCGAAACGATGACAAAGAGATCGTCAGTAATATAAGTGAATTTCTAAAATCTAGGTAAGTTTTTTTTTATTCGAAGTTTTCATTTCTCTAGCGATTATCGTTACTAGTACAGTTTTTGTTTTGTTTTTTTTCTGTATTTTTAAAATACAAAAAAAATTCGTCATTATTATTATTATACATAATTATACATATATGGCATAAATAATATACCCGGCCGGCCCCGGCTTTGCACGGGTGCAATGCTGAAAGTTTTTCAACATCGCATTAGAAACCTCTAAAATTAACAGTATTTCTCTGCTATATTATGCATGAATTATACACAATATAAACCTTCCTCTTGAATCACTCTATCTATTAAAGAAAACCGCATCAAAATCCGTTGCGTAGTTTTAAAGAGCTAAGCACATATGTATAAGGGACCGACAGACAGCGGGACGACTTTGTTTTATACTATATAGTGATGATCCATAGCGTCGAAACCTTATCGTTTAGATATTGCGAGTTGGGGCGAATTTAAATCCATTTAGGAGTCGATATAATCAATACTGTCTGTTTGCAGTTTATACTCATGTTATTAATTAATAAAATACTGAACCCTTTAATTTATTTTTCAAGTATTTATTATTTTCAGGCGATGTAGTTGCTACAACACAATTAGCCAGAGATAAAGCTATTGGCATAACCACGGATTTAAATAAATTTTACTTTAACTTCACAGAAAAGGAGTTGTAAACTTCTTCAAGGCCTCAATCGAATACGCCTTTGACCTCGGTGTGCCAGTATATCTGAAGTATCTTCAGAACAATATTCAGCATAATAACGTGATCTTGACTTTCCTGTCCGGTGGCAACTGGTGGCAGAAAATGAGGGAACTCTATAATGGTACACATGCGACGAATTTCTTCAACAACATAGAAAAAACTTTTGACATCGCCGAAGACGTCTTGAACAATCTTGATAAAATACACGTTAGTGCACACAATTATTTTTTTTTGAAGCTATACTTCTTTTGGCGCGTTTGGAAAAATTAACTAGGGAAAATTTTTTAAGACATGCGCGCTCACCCACCTTTAAAAAGTCACATGACGAATAGCTTACGAACCGTCGCACCCAACTTCACGGTATAACCATGGCAACCAATAACGACTTTTTGAGATTCCAACCAATAACAACTTTTTGACATTTACCTATAATTCCAAGCTATTTAAATAAACCGTTATCGATTGCATTTAATATCTACGCTAAAGAAGTATAACTTTTTACATGCGTGTACATAAGCACACACATATTTTTTTCTAAAGATGCATTTACACTAGACCTCTTAGTGGATATAATAAAGTATTAAATGGTTATTCAAATCATTGTGAATTTTCTCCGCAAAAAGGGCAATACAACAAAGAAAAAATTAAATATATTTACAAACAGATAGTTTGATGGTTTTAACTGAGTCCGATATTGATTATTTAGCTGCTCTACCTTATTTTCAACTCTAGGGCCTCCTGCTAATCTATGAAGACATGTATCATTTATTACTTTGCTTTAACAACTCTTGTCTTAAATAGCACATCTTAAGTTTTATATTAAAATAATCATAAACGTTTTGATACGACCGGGACCCAATTCTTTAAACTTGGTAACGTATCTGACAAACCAAAGGAGTTAGAATAGATTTCCATTGGTGGCGTTAATCTCTTAACACCGGGTGCTCCGTTGCCAACTTCTCTCATAAACAAAACTTTAGGGGATATACTGCAAACATTTCTGTCAGCACAGCCAGTTTATATTGGAAAATTTTGTAAATAACGCTCGATTTTACAACGTACAATACAACGCATGATGTGGTTACTTATAAATGTGAGAACAGTCCATTGTATTATGTACCAAATAATTTTTACTCATCCTAAATGGCTGTATCTTACGTTAGTAATCCAATAAATAAATAAGTAAATATATAAATAAATAACTTTATAAACACCGCAGTGGTTTCGTCTCATACGCGAAATCAACTCAAACGGCAAAGAAGTCTTCTGCAAGTCAACCGTGGCGCTTTCTGAGTATGTACCCGACAACACTGGGGCTCTGGCGAGCTTGAAACAACAGTTCTGCTTGCAAGACACCGCCCAGCTGTTCATGGAGCTGATGCCGCTACGATTCGCATCACAAGTAGGCATTTTGTAATATTTTTTCTTGTATCATCCTTTCACAACTATATAAGATCGTCACGAGCTTACGAAGCATAAATACTCAATGAAATCATTGCAAATATACAATTAACATATGAATAAAAACATGTCTTATTACGAGGTAAAACGTAATTGCGCTTATATAAAGTAATGAAACAAATAAGTAATAAAGTGTTTCTCACATTATCCTCGACACACAAAGACATTCTTCGTGTTTAGCTTTTTATATTTGATTATACTCTACTATTATTTGTTATATTTCAGTAGGTACGTCAGTATTTATTTTCGAATTTTAACGTTATGTCCTTGAGATTTGTTTTTCAATTGAAACATAATGTAATTCAATATCAATATGACTCGTTAACGGACGAGAATAAATGCTGTAAGCGTTTTGTAGTCGCCAGTTTGTTCGCGCGCATCCACAAATTCTCATATACCATGAATTAACTTCCTCCTTCAGGTATATGACAACAAGTTGAAGATAACAACGGACGTCGACTACGACGCGTTAAATTCTGACATATCTGACGCAGAGTCCAACATCAAGAAAATATTTAATGGACCGAAATCACCCCAAACGCCCAAGTGGGTGACGGACGAAAAACTAGAGAAATTCCGTACATCAGTGATAGGACTGTTGTCTAAGGAAACGCTGATTAAGGCTTCTTTTGGCACCTTGGGCAATATTGTTGATGCTGGAACACTCTTGTTGAATAACAGGTGAGATAAAACTTATCATCTTTTGGAAATACTCAATTCTCACTTAGGTTTTTTTTAACTGCGGTAGGGCCACGCGACAGCTCCTGCAAATGCACGAATGGTCAGGCTCGTCTGGAAAAGCTCCGAAGCACCGACCTCACAAAAGACCGGCATGAAGTGAAAGCATTATACTTTCGCGTTTCGTCTGATGAGTAAATTAACCGGGGCTCACATCTTAAAAGGTTGTCAACGCATCTATCTCAGGTGTTGTAGATGTAATTGGCGGTGGTATTTATTTAACATCAGGTGAACTACATGCTCGTTTGACAACTTATCATGTAAAAATCACAGGTCAATTGATCTAAGGACTACGGCTTGTATTAGCAAGTTGAGAACACAATATTTTTTATTTAATTGATTCATAACACGTGTCTATGACATGAATTGTGTGTTTTCAGTCAAAAATAGTATCTGAAATATCTATATAAATAAAATGATAGACGTCTATCGTTGTGCATCATGAAAAATGTAATAAATGGATATCAGCTAATAATTCCAAGTTCTATTTCGGCCGTTGTGACGATTTAATGTAAATTTATTAAAGTTTAAAGAATCAAAGATTTTATAAGTACTAAGCGTTGTAGCTGTTAATATAATAAGCGACGCGGACCAAGTCGCGGGTATCAGCTAGTTTTTAATAAATCTTATCTTTTTAATAAGTCTCTTAATGTCATTTTACAGCCAATGCACACTTTGCTCGCAATTCACGACGTGGATGAAGCAGCTGAACTTGCAGCTTTACAAGAAACAGGAATATGACAACCTCCTGTGCCAAATGCATGAAATGAGCCTGCACGATATTTACGTAACTCTAAAGCATGATTTCCATTGGGATATGGCTATCAAAGAAGTAAGAAACGAAAATTGGAACGTTCTTCATAATTTTAAAACCATATACCGCCATAGACTTTTGTTTTTTCCGTAAAAACCCCGGTTTTGTCATTGCTGTTATCAGCTGCGATTCCTATTCATCATTATAGTCACAGCTGTGTATGTTTATCCTGTTGTATATATAGCCTGTTAATGCCTGCCTATTAATACAACAATATATTATATTGTTGTATTAATAGGCAGGTCCTCAACGAAAACCGGGTGAAATGGAAATATTACAATTTTGATTTAGCGCGTGAGATATAACCATGAACGACACTTAAACGAGTGGAAGTGTCGCTCATCATGGCGTTCTAAAGGGTAGGTCTTTGTTCAAGAGTGGATGTCTTCCAGCTGATGATGATGATGATCAGAACTCTTTCAAAGGTTGGCACAGGTATAGTAGAGGTCTTTGCGCGGCGGAAACTATCAACATCCATGGTGCTTTACTATCACATAATATATAATAAAATAATGCTTTATGCAAGCATTTGTATAATGCCGTTTTGGACATCAGATATTTTTCCAAGGATATTGTTGACGCTTTAATATGATAGAGATTTTCCTTGTCTAACAATGAAAATAATAACTTGTTTTTTTTTTAAAATAAATATGAATTAATATGTTACAGTTAATATCAACTCGCAACTACACGAAGTTCGAATTGAACAAGGCCATGAGCGAGTTCCTAGAGCAAGTAAAACAGCATCTGCTCGAGGACGTAACTGCGCCAACGACCAAGACATCGCAATGCTTGACCCAGAACGTCACAAGGAACGCGTTCGGCAATGCCACATTGTAAGACAGCTTAGCATCCTTGCAATATTCACTTAAAGTTAAAGTAACAGCCACATATGACCCACGGCTGGGCAAAGGCCGTACAGAGGACTGTACAGATGGTATTTGAACACAGATCACTACGCGATCGCACTGAGGATTTTCAGACTTTAAAATATGTAGAAAAAGTACGAAAACATTGTCGCCGCTGTGGGACTCGAACCCCCCTCTTCGGCATTCGCGACCTGACGCTTTAACCACTAAGCTAAACGGCTGATTGCCACACCGACGAAAACCAACGTCTTTTATCTACATTTTAGTCATTGCTGTCATTGGCAGACTTCACATAACTAAAAAAATATTTTATTGTTATTATTTCGAAAATATGCAAACTTCCTCACGATGTTTTGCTTCACCGCTGAGCACGTGATAAGTCAGCAGCTCTTAGTGCCGGCACCGGGATTTAAGCTCGGGTTACTGGAGTACCTTTAATTAAGAATACCTTTATTTAAGAATAATATAAAAAACGAGTAACTAATAATGCAATTCATCTACCAACTTATCCAGAAACAACAATGTTATTCTCATTTTAGCCGTAATCTATATCTTTTAATATATTATAATAAATTTAAATTTTTGGATAGTATCGTATAAGTTCCAAACAATTCTGTTGTGACCATCCGTTAATGGCTATTACATTATTATAAAATATATAAATTCACTTTTATCTGCGATTTCTTTTAGATTCGCTAATGTGCTTGCTCATACGTTGAGGCTCATAAGGGCAGAGTTACCTCATGTGCAAGAAATTGAAGGCGTCAAAGAAATAAAATACTTGAAAGAGCTACAGGGCGCCGTAGCTCACAAACTAGACGTAAAAGTGCCATTGAAGAAGTATTTGAATGAGGCATATGACTTTTCAAAGAAATTGAAACTTTATGTTAATAATGATAATTTAGTCAAAGAAGTTGAGAACAGCGCAGTTAATTTACGCACCGTAAGTAAGATACTTATAAGTTATCCGAGAACTAATTAGTGAAGTCCAACTTATCTCTACTAATAATATTGATAAACTAAAAGAAAGGACTCGTATAGCTCCTAATCGTAAAGTCCTTGCAATGTTTGTATTTTTTTATTAAAATTTAATTTCTTCAGATACAGAACTTAGAACCACAGAGCTTGATATTTGAGAAAAGTGACTATACTTGGGAGGATCTTTGCGAATGTTGCGATTGCAACAAAGTTGTCACGGATATTGTCGAAAACCTAAATACTACATTAGTATTTACTGACGTAAGTTAATTTACACCGCTAATACAATGAAATGATGAAATCTTGTAATAGTGGGATAACAATTCAAAGGAACATAATGTAATATTTTATAATATTGTCATTATTATTAATTTCAGCTGCAAGTACTCCAAGATGAGGAATTCTGGCGTTTCAATTTTGTCTCAAATATTTTAGAACGCGTCGAAGACATTATAGGCCACGCTTCTCGTTTGATAGGTGTAGTCAGTAAAGTAGACTTGGTTGGTGTAATGGAGGGTCGTCTGGTATCCATAATAGATACGGCTGTGCAGTTACTCACCGATGAAGTACTCAATAGTATCATATACAGGTGAGAAAATATTTATGAAGAACTAATTCCACGGAGAATTTGTTATACATTGATCTCTTTGCATTCATTTTCAAGTTTCCTTAGTCTAGATGTAACTGCTTACGCTTTACTCAAAATTTTTAATTTAAAGCCTTTCTCATGGGCATCTCCCATTTAACGGTCAGACTGTCTACTACCATAATGGTTATTTTTGCACATGGCCGAAATCCAACGTCAAAATATGCATTTTGACATATTTAATTGTATAAAAAGTTCAACTTTAATCAAACCTGTGATAATGTAAACATTTTTGTAACCTGTAAAGTTTTACAGAAGCCTTTTGTTGAAAGAGAAAGAAAACAAAATCCGACAGACCCCCTGTAATATTTTTACGTGATATATTGCATAAATGGTTTTTTTAACTGTTTGTTTTTTCTTGTTGTTCTTCAATAATCTAAATCATATCTGTATTTAGCGTTTATCTTGCTTGTTGTTTAAATGTGTGTTTGATTTTTACGATTACATTATTTCTGATTTACGAAATTGTTATTTCAGCATCCGTGGCTTAATGGTAGAACTTAACCCCTTAATTAAGAGTGATAAATTGCGAGACAGCCTTTTTGATATCAGCGAAGGACTTGAGGTTTTACAGGAATCGAAAAACTCATTATTGGAAGAAGATATCAAAGGTATAAATCAATAACTAAATAATTAATAAAAATAAGGCAACAGTTATACGAATTAAGCAACGATTTTCGATATCGCATAGTAATGTCAACGTGTTTCTATACGATGATATGAACGTCACATGAGAAAAGGTGTTAAATAGCAATAATTCATCAAGTTGATCCTTAGTCTTAAAGCCACTCTGATTGTAATCAGACGGAAAGACAGACATCGGTAAATAGTTCAACTTCTTTTCTGTACACAAGCCATTTTTTTAATGTGAGAATGTAGCAAATAAACTGTTTCATCTAGGGGCATACAACACCTAAGGGCTTGTAGATGCGTTGCAAACTTTTAATAACGTGGGCCCTGGTTTCCTCACTCACTAGACGAAACGCAGAAGTATAATTCTTCCACCTCACGTTGGTCTTCTGTGAGTTCACGGTCATTTCCCGGACGGACCAGCCCATTTGTGTAACAGTAAAGACTAATGTATGGGTTTACCACAAATTTCAAATAAGAATCTTTTTCGATTTTTAAACCCATTTAACACTAATACAAAGAAATTAATGGCAACAGTAGACAATGATTTATAGCAACTATACTCACATTCTTAGTATTTAGAAACATGCATGTGTTCAGTTTGTAAAGTTCATTTCAGTGCAAGTTGGCGACTTATTTTCTGACCCTGACAAGTTGGAGGCAGACCTAAGCAATCTTGGAATTAACAACACCAATTTCTGGTCCATCGCAGCCCCACGGATCCAAGTTGGATATTTTCAATTCAAACCGGTAACATTATTCACTTGTTTTTTTATATGTGAAAAGTTGACAAGCTGAAAACAAAAGGTGGTTAAACATGTTAAGTGATTATTACCCTTGGCTATCTTCTTGTGTTTTGGGTTGCAGATGTGTTGCCCCAGCGATTATAAATTCATCAAGTTTAAATTATTTAGTTCCATTTCGTTTTACCCAATCAAGAAATATAACAGAGTCTGTTAGCTGATTATATTTTCTAGAATACAAAGATAAAATACTGTTCCAGAGAACTGTGCCATTATTTTCTCTTCATTTTTGGGCTTATTTCATCAATTTTAAATATATTACCAATCAATACAGTCAATCCTTACTTCTCACCTAAAGCGTCTCAATCTGTTAAATTTTAGTAAAAAAAGTGTTAAATTTCCTCTGTAGAGTATTCAAAGTACGGGTTTTAAAACCGTTTTATTTAACGTAACGTAGTGTTCTCCTAAACAAAAGAAACCATCAAAGATTGTATTTGTCTTTCCTATAAACCTCATACCTTTCCGCATCGAGCCACCTGCGGTACACTATCAGTGTGTATCTTATTATATTTCTTCTATGTGCAACGACATTTTAGATGTTCTCAACAAAACAAGACGCGTTCCGGATCAGCAACTTCGTGTGCGAGATGGAGGATATGGCCAAGGTCATAGTGCCAGGTAACGTGGACGTAGTCACGCTGGACGATATCTACGGAGCGGTTATAGAGCAGTTCTGCGATTTAGACGAGGAAACGGCAAAGCAAATTTTGGCTACGTTAGTGAAAAACATCGATTTCACGTTCGTAATAAACAAGGTAAGCCACAAAAATATATCTCAAAAACTACAAGGTCTAATGACAATCTGTAAATACCCATCCTTTATCATAACTATATCTTTATTAATATTTCCATAGCCGTGAGCATGTTAATAGAAGTTATTATTTGATACGATGAATATAAAGTCAAGTTATAAATGATGTAATTACCCTCATCACAAAAACCTGAAAATTTGTAAATTGTGAGCAGCGATAGCAGAGTGCCTGCTCTCTGTTGTTTAGCAGTGGTTTGCTCTTATGTCGCATTATCATCAATTACATTCTTTTTTTATGCAATAAACACCAATATTAACACCTAGCTTTAGTTTCATCCATTTTAACTCTGAAATAAAATTTTCCCTCCATACATTCTTATATCGTTTTACCTGTACACGTATCAAACAAATCTAACTTATTATCTACTGCTTTCTATATTCAGGTGAAAGATTGGCTGTTAAGCGAACTCTACTCCACGTCCGAACTAACACCATCAGAAGGCGAACGAATTATGAATAGTTTCTCAAGGATCACATCCCTAATCCCTGTGATGCAAAATAACATCGGCAGCGTCAGCGACCTGATGGCTGATGAACCTTTGTTGGAATATCTCAAGGGCGATTTCTCGTTTGGCAGTCTCTTTGGAGGTAAGATGAAAATATACAAGAAAATTTGCTTTTAGTAATTTCCAATAAAATGTCTTGTTACTTTTGGCTTTTTTCACCTTTTTTAAGTGAGAAGGTGGCAATCGAACTGTTGTTAAGTGTTACCCGGCCTTAAGTGATAACCGCCGCCCGTAGACATTTGCAACACCCGTAGTGTGGTAGATATGTTGCCACTTTTTAACAAACTGTGCCCCGGCAACCTCACTTACCACTTCATGCCGGTCTTATGTAAGGTTGCGTGGCCCTACCACAGTTTGGAAACACTTGGCGAAGTACCTTTCCAATTTCACTCTCGTTTTTAATAATTGCCAGCTTCTATAGAGATGTTTTTCATGTTCTCGTTAATTAGACTGTGCAGTGGCTTAAAAGAGTTCGTTTCAGGCGGAGGTTTCATGGCGGACGCAGGGAGAATGGTATGCGGTAAACCGTTCAACACACACGTAAACCGACTCTTCAAATCGATCATAGAAACTCAAGACTTGTCCGGCGACGCTGACTCCGAGCAACTGGAAGTTCTTCCAAGTATAACTATTAGCTTTTTCATATTTTTTTGTTTAACGTTTAACATCACGGTGGAAAGTTTTACTTTCAAATCTCAATCTTATGCTGAACAACCATTGCGACCTTTCGCGTTGGAATATTTAAAATAATGTATTGATGATGATGAAGTAAATTTCAGATAAAAAGACGATAACATTAACATTTAATTTGGAATATATTTACTCATTTTAAAGTTTTTTATAGTGCTAATCTCTGCACTTAAGATTGAACATTAAAACATGTAGAAAAAGTACGAAAAGACTATGTAGAAAGAAGGCGTTAAGATTTTCGTCGCTGTGGCTATCAGCCGTTTAGCTCAGTAGCTAGAGCGTCAGGCCGCGAATGCCGAAGACCTGGGTTCGATTCCCACAGCGGCGATAGTCTTTTCGTACTTTTTCTACATGTTTTAATATATTTACTCGTTATATGAAAAATGGCTAATGTCAGCGCGGCGGGTTAAGAGATCGATTCCCAACTGATACAAGTATTTGTATCGCCTACAGATAATCGTGTTTAAAATATTATTATTATTGTACGTTATACTTTAATTATTGTATATTGTACAATAATTAAAGTATAACGTACAATAATAATAATATTTTAAACACGATTAATATACTACTGACTATCGACATTCGCATAATATAAATAGACATAAATGTCTGAAAATGGTTTGCGTACTTTTATCTTAAACATGTAGCTACTTGCGGTAGTCAATACTTTCGAATAATGTGCATTCCATAAAATAATGTAAATGCATAAAGTGTGACATTAAACCTTGTTTAATTTCGAAATATGTACATCAAATACATAATTACAAATTATAGAAATTCATTTTTACGCAAAATCTTTCCTTTCTCCATCCATGTAATCGTGCCAAGAACGGTAGCTGCATTTCCTCGCTGAAGGCTTATTCTTTTCTAGCTCAAATGTTAAACATAACTATGCTTAACTTTTGAGTGAGAAAAGAACCAGCCCTCTTGTCAACAGCCGCGTAGACTAGGTTTATTAGACAACATGTAATTTAGTTACATTAAAATTCATCGATATCCTTATAATTCCAGCTGACTTCTGCCGTTCACTGTACAAACAGATTGTCAGTGTGAACGGTGGGAAGATCGTCTGGAGCTTTGTGAAGCCACTTGTAATGGGAAAGATACTCTATACGCCAACGACGCCAGTGGTGGAAAGGATTATACAAAGGGTATGGTCGTTACCAATCTTTAAATATATACGTACGTACTCAGGTAGTGGACTAAACTGAGATTGAAACAGGAAAATTCCGATTAGGATTATAGAAACTTTGCCGAGAATATATTGTGATTTTAAATCTATCAAAATAACATTAAAACAAAATCTGTTAATAATTATAAGATACAAACCGAGTACAATGTAGGTACAATGCTGCATCTAACGATGTCGTCGGTCCACCTAATGAAAACAAAATAAAATAAAATACAAATGGCAATATCGATGGTGTTCTAAGGGGGAGGCCATTGTTCAACAGTGGGCGTCTTTCGACAGATGACGATAATATACTTACGTCTTTAATTGACTGTAACTTTGTCCAATAGCAACAAAATTATTTTTTTACAACGATCCGTCAAGCCTTTGACCGAAATTCCGTTAGATAAGAACCACATAATAAATAAAAAAATCTTGTATGTATGCGATGACACATAGGCATTGGCGTATCTAGAATTATTTTTCAGGGTGGGCCTGGGCCCTTGCTACAAAAAAAAATCGAACACTATGCGTCGCATTAAAAAATTAACAGTTCGTTGTCGTTAATAATTTTTTAATAAAAACTAAGTACGTAAATAAATTTTTTCGGCTGTAGATAATTATTTCATTTCAACTATTTTTTTAAGAAGTTTCTTAGGTATTCAGCCAAGAATTTCGAATCAGTAACCCAAAATCCTGGGGTGGGCACTAGACGATACTGGGGTGGGCATAGCCCACCCGGCCCCCCTGCTGTATACGCCTATGCACATAGGTCTTTAGTAAGTAGTCAGAAGTTAGAAGGCTGAATAGGGTTTTAAAGGGCGGGAACTAAAATTAAAAATAAACACTTTAAATGTATGTAAAGAAAATAGTTTCTATTTTTTATTAATATATTTTATTTTATATAATTTAATATTTTATAACTTAATATTATATAATTTAATTAATATTACGTGTTCCGATTTACGTCCGAAGCCCATTATGAGAGTACATCGTCTGATTTCCGTCTGACGTCTTAGGAAACATAAAACAAATTTTATTGGAAGGTAAAATTTTTATATTATTCGTAATGTTTGATACAGGCCAACGAATCTTTCGCTCCAATGGTAAAAACGGTGAATCTGGTGCATTCCTTCGCGGGTGCCTTCTCCTCGGTGGAGAAGTTGGTAGCTCACCGCAAAGGGCTGGAAGCTCTGAAGGAACTTCTCACTGCTCCCGGCACCAAGCAACTTAGAACGAGCGTGATTGGCGAAACTGAGATACCTGACTTTGATATAGAGGATATGTTCGACAAGCTGGGTGATGTACAGGTATGCTTTATAATCTACATTCGAATTGGCCTCCGGATATCACCAACCCTCCAATCATCTCGGTTTTGCACGGTTTTAAGGGAGGTCTGTGTTCTTGTTTTGTTCGGTGGGAACTAAACTAATCTGAAGACTTACTCTTACCGGCGACGTCACCCGTCGTCATTTAGAAATTCGATTCTAAACTTCTTCGAAATTAAAGTACTAAATTAACGTTACTATTACTACTAAATGTAGCGGTTGTATCGAAGAAGGAGAACATAACATACACACAAACTGTTTCATTAATTAATGTAATTGCACTAGCGACTTTTTATTGTGAATCAAATGTATCCATAATTCTTTTTTATGTGAGAAGTAAAGTATCAGCCTATACATGTCCCAAAGGCCTCCTCTGTACAAAGGGTATCAGGGCATTGTCCGCCACGCCGCCCCACTGCGGATTGGCGGACTACATATATCTTTGAAATATTTTTTTTTATTATTTCGAAAATATTCAGGTTTCCTCACGATGTTTTCCTTCACCGCTGAGCACGTGATAATAATTCGGCACATAAAATTAACAATTTCATTGGTGCCACCACCGGGGATCGAACTCAGGTTGCTTTAGTATATTGAATTGAAGGCGAGCGCCCGACACTGAGCTATCACGGCTGAGTTATGTGAGACTGTTGCAGACGCGTTGCCACCTTCTAATGAAGTGGGCCCCGACTTCCTCACTCAACAAAAGAACTCAAAAGTATAACCCTTCCATTTCACGTTGTCGTACTAACCCGGAAGACCGTGGCGTGGCCATACCACAGTTAGTTAAATGGTACAAGTTGTGATGTATGTTTGCTAAATGTAATCTTTCATATCAGGATTTAGGTGGACTACTTCAAAAGGGATCGGACATATTGGAGTGCGTGAATCTGAACCGGTTCATGCCGGTTTCTGACGAACAACAGCTCAGTAAGGATGCTCTCAAGCTAATGAGGGTGAACGAGTTCTCAGCGGGTAAGTAATCTTAGGATAGTTTATCTTTACATGTATAATTCTTCTGTACGTGTGTATGTCACTGAACTCCTCCTAAACGGCTTGACTGATTTTAATGAAATTATTTGTTTCTTCAGGTAGATTCGAGAATGGTTTAGATTCACAATTCGGTCCACTACATTTTTTTTTTATTTATAAGTTGTTTTCGGATTTCAGTCGTGTTTACAGGACGTCTGTCGGGTCCGCTAGTTACCCTATGTAATGATTACATAAATATCTATGTAATCATTACATAATTGATTTATGAAGACTCGGTGGCGCCATTGCTAAGCTATTAGGTCCGGCGTCGGGGGTCGTCGGTTCGATTCCCACACGGGATAAGTATTTGTGTGACCCACGGATAATTGTTTCGGATCTATTTGTCTAACGTCAACCCTCCTTGGGAAGCACCCAAGGAGGGTTGACGTTAGGCTGGCGCACGCGAAACCGCGTTCATCATAATGCCGACACGTGTTGTACCGACCCCACCTGGGTTCCCACCTATAAGGGCAGGAGGATGATGATGATAATAATTTGAGTAATGATAAATCAACGAATCTATGGGATATAACGATGCGCAATTTATTAAAATGTATTTAATTTTCAACATACTAATGATTTATTCGCAGGTTTAGTTTTCCTGAACAATGAAACGAGTCCGGAAATGCCATTGAACGTGCAATACAAAATAAGAATGGACATTGAAAATACCCCGACAACAAATAGACTAAGAAATTAGTAAGTTTATTTCTCTTAATCAATTATCATTCCGTGACCATTGACTGTGTATGACTTGCAGTGGCTTGAAATATAACGTGTTCTAAGCTATTGTTTGTAACACCGCTTGATGGTTTTCCAAAGGCTGTCCCATGTCTGCATAAAAAGTATTTAATCTACATACATGTAGGATTAATTATTTAATAGTTGAGTAAAAGATTTGAGGAACTTTTCGCAACGATGTCTGCATAAAATACTCAAAATAAAGATTTTATTTATCTTACGCCTACATACATTTAACTGACAGACACCTACGCATTTGCTCAAACTAATTTCATACCTTCAATTTAATTTAAATTACTGCAGAAGGCTTTAATGGGCTAATTTCGTACCATGATACAAAAAAAAAACATTTCTGTTGCATGGGAGCCACAATTAAATATTTTTTATTCTGTTTTTAGTACCCATTTCTTTTTATAGCGGCAACAGAAATACATCAGCTGCGAAAAATTTCAACTGTCTAACTATCACGGTTCATGAGATACAGCCTAGTGACAGACGGACAGACAGACAGACAGGTAGTGGAGTCTTAGTCCCGTTATACCCCGTTTTACCCTGTGGGTATGGAAACTTAAAACGTAAACTGTCAACACTGTATATTGAAACTATGCCAATATCTGCCAACAGTTTATGGATACCTGGGCCCGAATCCAACTTCATAGAGAACATGCGCTACTTCCGAGGCTTCATCCAAATCCAGGACATAATCGATAAGGCTATCATCGACATCTCTGCCAGCGGCAAAAGATTGCAAAAAAGGGGCCTTGGAGATGACCAAAGCCTGAACTGGGCGATGTATACGCAACAAACGCCCTATCCATGTTACAGGAAGGACTTGTAAGTAATTTCATTGACTACACCCAACTTTCATCCTATATTAATGGTTAATATTTCCGAATAAATCATCCAATGTTAACATGCTTATTAAACATTACACACGGTCTCGTTCGAGTGGTACATTTACAAATAAATATTTAATTCCAAGGTAAAAAAACACGTGACGATACATTTATAAGCTTTCTCCATTCTAAACACACATTCAAATCGATTCAGGTCATGCATAAGACAAATTTAAATAAACTTGTACAGTATATTCCGGCGGCACAGTTGCTAAGCTATCGCAGGCTTCGGCGCCGGTGTAACTGGGTTCGATTCCCATACAGGACAAGTATTTTATTGGCACACAGATCATTGTTACCGATCTAGGCGGCCAATCGTAAAAAAAATACTAAGGCAATACCATTAACAATATGATTCACATGTTGTGCCGATCCCTCCTAGGTGGGCTGAGATGATGACGACGATGTTGTGGTCTTCCAAATATATTGCAGAATCTTTGATAAGAGAGTCTCGCAGAAAAGTCACACATAAATTAATATTGGTCCAACATTTGAACACAACAGTAGGCCCGGCCATAATAAATGTATTAACCTTGTTACTGATGCAAATATCCAAAGACACTTCATTCACAACAACCTTTAATCTTCAATCAAAGTTAAATAAAGGCCGTTTTCAATATCCTATCTATCGGTTCATTTGTTAACTGGAGATAGAATTTAGACGTAAGTTATGGAACCTATGTCAAATACCAATCGCTAGAAACCAAATCTACAGACAGATAGAATATTGAATATTGATCGAAGCTACTGAAAACAAAATGCGCACCGAAAACAAGGTACGTAAGAAGGAACAACCAATCGCTAGAAACGAAATCTACAGACAGATAGAATATTGAATATTGATCGAAGCTGCTGAAAACAAAATGCGCACCGAAAACAAGGTACGTAAGAAGGAACAAATTAAAATTGCCACGGCCTGTATTCAGTTTCCAGACATCGTTGTACGAGTCGCAGTCTCTCATCGTGACGTTCTTCTTCGCGCTGCTGTTCACCACTTCATCAGTTGTGAGGTTCATTGTTTCCGACAAGGAGACTGGAAATACTATGGTGAGTTAAATTATCGTCATCGAGATTTATATTTCTAAACGGATGTCAACTGCGATTTAAAAAAAAAAACGTACTTTTGTATCATTATTTTGGCATAACATGTAATGTGTCGTTGAACATTTATTATTAGTGTAATATAACTAAGACAAGAAAAGAAATATTTCAGAGAATATAAATTAACAATATAGTATGTATTGTGAATAATACTTGTGTATATATAAAATAATATTATCAGGTGTATTGCTCTATCTTATGAACTATACATAATTTAAAAAACCGGCCAAGTTCGAGTCGGACTCGCGCACGAGGGGTTCCGGACCATTATCTATAAAACGGCAAAAAAGTCATGTCTGTTTTACTTAAATATTTTTTGGTAACAGAAATGCATCATCTGTGAAAATTTCAACTGTCTAACTATCGGTTCATGAGATACAGTCTGTTGACTGAGACAGGCAGACAGACAGCGGATTCTTAGTAAGAAGGTCCCGTTTTACCCTTTAGGTACCGTAAAAATTACGTCTGCATCACTAAAAGAACCATTCGATTTCCAGTTGATGTCAGTGATGGGCGTAAACCTTGCTTACCACACGCTGTCGTGGTTCCTCTCTTCGCTGGTAGAGATGCTCATAACATCCACCTTCATCGCCACGGTGCTGTCCGCTGGTGGTGTGCTTCCACGTACCGCTCCCTCCATGATTTTTATGCTGCTCTTCATCTACAGCTTCGCTGTTCTCTCCTTTTGGTGAGTAACCTTTACTTATGGACAATAACGATCCTTTTCACCACCTGTTAAATAACTAGCGTAAATACCGTTTGAATTTCGGTGACTAACTCGCCTTTATGTCTTCGTCGTCTTGAAGGTGTTGTCGATGTTATGTTGCGAATGGCCCTAGAGAAGTGATCACCGAGCACGAAGGAAATATTTATATTTAAAAAACTTGACACTAAGAGTAATCGAGGGGTGCTTGCAGTTAAATAAAAGATACATTAAGTTGAACATAGACCAATAAAATTTTATATAAAATCTAAACCTAATTAACTAACAAAAAATCATAATACTGACGTAGAACTTAACTTTTACCCTTTCGTGATCTTAAGTGAAATACCATATGGCTTCTTATTTATTAATGGTAATTTTTTAACCGACTTTGACGTGCGAAAATATTATACAATAGATATCTGACTATGACCGCTCATGTGACAGTCTTCTTTAATTGTTCACTATACAAAAGCTACAACAGCTTCACATTTTATTCTGATTTTTACCGATTATGATAAATGTACTTTAATTGGCAGTGTTATGTTTCTGACAGATACTATATATCTAGACACAAAAAGTCCTTTTACATCATCGAGGTGACTGTTAACAGTTGGCTATACAATAAGATAAGGGTAATTGCGTATGTATTAGGATTTATTAATCTAAAGTTGGTTTCACCTTTTTCGATCGCAGCTATATGATGTCAAAGCTTTTCAAGACAGCAAGCTTTGCAGCGGTATGCTCCGGAATGGCTTACCTGATCAGCTTTATGCCGTTCGTGCTCATCCTATCTTTGGAGGCAGTACTCACCAGCTCCCTAAAAATGCTAGTCGTAAGTATTAGAACTAAACATTACACAACATATTATCTTATATCGAATACTAAAGATAATCCATATGGTAGATATTCGTATATTATTCAAGAAGCAGTAAAAATTTAAACATGTCTACTATATTCCTTGACATGATATTTATGCATCGGTTAAAATATCGAATGGTGGCTAAGCGATTAGTTGTAACACAGCAGGAACTTGATTCAATTTCCTCCCGCCGCAAAAACAAAGTTGATGATCAAATGTTAGAAAGATACAGTATTTCCCATACCTCCTATCTGAATAGTTGACCCAGCGCTAATATTACCTGTCAAATTATTTACTGAGAACATGTGTATTACTTCTGTTGCAGTGTTTGTCAATGTCTTCGTCCCTTTGTTATGCGTTTCTGTACATCACGCGATACGAAGCTACGGGGCTAGGTGCCCAGTGGGTCCATTTGTGGGAGTCACCTGATGGCGTTGATAATATGAGCATAGGAATAGCTGCGATACTCGTCTTTGTTGATGGCGTTATCTACATTTTAATTGGTCTTCTTCTTGATAGATTTTACGGTAAGTTGCAGTGAACCTAATGAATGCTTATCGAATTTTTTAACGTTTTCTACCATTGTTAAAGTTTTTAGCATTATTTCTTACATAGTTACATATTACCGAGTTCCTCATCCACGAATGCTTCAGACTGTTTGAAAGGGGAAATCATAGTTTCATTTAACAAAATCTCCTACCATTTACTTAGCTCAAAATGCCAAAAACATTAATCATCTATACTTAGCAAGTTGATTAATGTTTTTGGCATTTTGACACCGCCTCCTAGAATCAGATCCTATCAGACAAATGTACAATCATTTAATTTAAGTAATGAACACAAACGAATACAAAATAACATAAACATTACAATGACAGAGCATTCCAATCGAAACAGATTTTACTCAATCTTCTTTATAATGTGACCTGTAGAGTGTTGAATATGAATGTGGTTGGAGGGTGTAAAGCTAGAGAAAAACCAAGAAAGATTTGGATAGATTGTGTGAAGAATGTTATGTCTGTAAAAGGGGTGAGTATTGAGATGACGGCTAATAGAGGAAAGTGGAAGGAAAGGACATCTGCCGACCCCACCTAGTAAAGAATAAGGGCAGGAGAAAGAAGAAGAAGATTTTAATTTATCTACTTCCAATAACAATTCCGTGTATATGTGTTTCTTTCTGTCAATTTTTTTTATCAAGCTCACTGCTTTTAATACTTTCTCAGGACTCCTTCAAATATGATATCTAAAGACATTTATTTCATCCAATGAAAGGTGTTTATTGTTTATGTGTATAAGTTTAAATGAACTAGTAATCTCTGGCAGGCTTTAAGGCGGAACAGAACAATGTGGCGAACTGCAAAGATTCGGGTGAAAAGGCGGGCGTGAGCATCATTAACATTAGCAAAGTTTACGGAAGCGGAACCCGCTCCAAGCTTGCCCTTGACAATGTCTCCATAGAATTACACACCGGTCAAATAACGTCGCTGCTGGGTCACAATGGCGCCGGCAAGACTACGCTCATGTTAGTAATTTCATTTTAAACGGACGCAATCTTAGATATTTCTTCTATTCATTAAAAGTACAAAATGGCACTTCTTCGTTTTGAGATTAGAAAAAAAAAACAAGTCAGTGAACCACGATCTAGTCTAATAAATATATTTTTATATTAAGTGCGTTAAAAATGAATTTTACTGCAAAAACTGTGGCTCAAGCAATAACTTGCTTATTCTACCATAGAAGAAATATCTTATATGGGTGCAAATGTTGAATTAGTGACTGATTCCTTTTCCTGATATCTAAAGGTGTATATTTAGTGTTTTGTTATTAAATTTTCATCTTCTTGAAATTTATTCAAAAGATGAAAGTGATACTCCTAATTCATAAACTATAAAATCAAGATGTTTAAATAGACGAAAGTTTTTTTTTATGTGAATATAAAGATTCTTTATTGAAAAAACAAAAAAAAATAAAATTCTTCTCTCTTTTTACGTCCCAGTTGAAAGTTTCTCTAACAATTACAAACTTTATGAACTGATCATAATTATCTAGCAAGTGCTAGATTTTTGTTCATAAGTTTGTAACAATCCTTATTCTGTTAAAGATCATGAGTTTGTTTGGACTGTGATAGTGTTTTTACGAATTCAGCAAAATCCTGACCGGCATGCTGAGGCCGACCAAAGGCCACGTGGTGGTCCGCTCGGAGAGTTCCGGCACGATGATCGGCGTTTGCCCGCAAAAGGACGTGCTGCTTCTACAGCTGACGGCGAGAGAGCACGTGGCGCTATACGCACAGCTAAAGAGCGGACGAAGTCTTGACGAGCTACACGGCGAAGTGGAAAGGTATCACCGTCATCCCGCACTTTTTATTTCACATCCACAATAATGGCTCCGTGCTCAGTTACGTAATTATTCTAATCGTTGACGATAAAAGAATAATAGAGCTAAAGTCTACCTATAGCTCTAGTATTCTTTTCTAAAGGCTTAATTGTTTGGTTTGAAGTTCTTGCAATGACTTGGAATACGGATTCCAGTTGCGGGTAGTTTTCAGCTATTTTGTTTTACTTAACACAATTGCACATCAATATATTATTTTTGATTTATTGGATATTCACTAAAATTTAAATACCGATTTTAATTAATGCCAATAAGGATAGGGCTAAAATGATTGAAGTTGCCCAGCTGTGCATGTGTAATACATGCACAGCTGGGCAAAGACTTTCGTTCCTTTCTTCCGATTTAGGTAAGAGTTGAATCATGATAACTTCTTTCAATCTTCGATTGATCCAGTATACTGCGAGTGCTCTCTTTGGGGCCGGTGGCGGAAGAGCCAGTAGCGCGTCTCTCCGGAGGCACTAGACGGAGGCTCTGCGTGGCTCTCGCCTTCGTCGCGGAACCCGGTCTTGTGGTCTTGGACGAGCCCACTGCCGGCGTAGATCCAGCCGCGAGAAGGTGACATTCCTTTTCTTTTGTGCTACGACTTCGATATTAATATCTACATATATATCAAAAGCTGTAATTACATATGATTACAACCTTTTTCAAAGAGTAAAAGACTATGCTTAAACAAATAATACATTTTATTAACATAAAACAAAACCGACTTTATCACTAACTACCTATACCTTTTGTATTTTAGTTTGAGCAGTTCTTGAAATATCTCTGAAACCCAAGTTCACCAATTAAATAAATATGGAGCCACCCGTAGATGCCCTTTCAAACAAAATTGTTTATCTTGCAGAATAAAGTACCTATATACAGTCGAAAAAAGAAACTCAACCATTTTTGAAGTCGCTTAAAATAACTTAAACAGAAATCTTATTACGTATCATACAAAATTGTCTTTCCACAGGGATATTTGGTCGATGATATTGAAACTACGAGAGAACAGAACGATTCTGCTAACCACGCATCACCTCGACGAAGCCGAGCTTCTTAGTGACCAAATTGTTATCATGCACAAGGTAGGTTATATATAATTTCGTAATAAATTTCACTCGTTCAAATAGCTCCTTTATCACATCGTTGTATGCCTATCCTGCCTTTGAGCGTAAATATTTTCAAACGGAGGAAGATACGGTTTGTGGATAGAAAATAATTAACGCAATGTTAATTTAGCGTGAAGGAATCTAATTAAAAACTTGTTTGACTGGATATATGCACATTTTTTCCTGGTCTTCTGTGAGACCGTGGGGAGTGGAATGGGAGGAGTGAAGGATTGCCTTGGAAGAGCCGACCCATTTTTCCAAAAAAATTGTTGAGTCATATCTCTAAAATTTGCAATATTATTACGATTGTCCATTATCTAAACTTACACCCTGGCTCTTTTGCAAAAAATGTTAATTATCTCTAAAATTGGAGAATATCATTAGAATATACTATTACGCATCTAAGCTTACACCGCGGCTCTTTCAAATGTCATATTCTTAACTTCCAAACATCATATCCAGGGTCAAGTCCACACGACCGGTTCACCAATAGAGATCAAACGTGGTCTCGGGAGCGGATACAAACTGACAGTTATGTACCCGGAGGGAAAGCGAAAACTGGAGGGGCTACAGGAGTTCATAGACGACGATCTGTGCATGGAGGAGAGAACGAAACTGCTACTTGCGACGGTTAGGAATGTCATCAAGAACGCAAACTTAGTCGATGTCAACGGCCTCGAGGTCGAGCTTAACCTACCGTTCTTCGATGCAGATGGAGTCAGTAATGAGTAAGCCATATGAAACAAAAACATCAAAGAAATTGCTAGAAATGTTAATGCTTTAAAATATTCTTTCAATGCATAATTTGCAGGCACTAGAAATCTTATTCCCATAATACTCCATAATCAGTCTGGAACCATTTCATTTCTGTAGATCCAAGGTATTCTCTTGCATAATCTCCAAGACTATCTCGAATTAGAAAAAACATTTTTTTTATGTGAAAAGTTGCCAAACGAGCAGACGGTTCACCTGATGAAGTGAATACCACCGCCCATGGACATCTGCTACACTCGAGGGTTCCAGATGTGTTGACAACCTTTCGGGAACTGGGCTCGGGCTACCTCACTCACCAGACGAAAGGCGAAAGTATAAAACTTCCACTTTACGCCCGTCTTCGGTGAGGTCGTGATACTTACCCGGACGAGCCTGTCCATTCGTGCAACAGCCGAGGCTGCTGCGTGGCCCTATCACCGTTAAAATCATAAATTGTGCGCCGATAAAGAAGAAAAGGTTCATAAAGAGGTTTTGATGATTTGCTCATTTGCCCGTAATGCATGTTAAAAAAGGTCTTAAATCTTGTTTATTTGGTTTCATCAGTATATAATATTTGGTGTGTGTAATAAAATATTTCAATTACATTGTTGCCCACTTCCAGATAAAGAATAATTGGGTACTCTAAACGTTTTTTTCGTAAAACAATTAACCATTTTATTACTTGGATCTTGTGGAACATCAAGGTTTGATTATAATGCTAGTGATCTTAAGCCTTATGTTTATAAATTATCTTTGTTTTATTGACAGTAAAGGCTATGCTTAAGCCGTGATAGCTCAGGGTCCAGGCGCACTTTTAATTCAACTTACACAAGCAACCAGAGTTCCATCCCCGGTGCCGGCACCAATGAAATTATTAATTTTAAGTGCTAACGTGCTGCATATTGTCGAAATAGGTAATAACAACAAAAAATATTCCGAAATAATTATATGGGGAGTCCGCCAATCCGAGTCGGTGGTGAACTATGCCCTGATACCCTCTGACATGTATAGGTTGTAACTAAACACTGTTTCATCATTTGCGTCAAATTGCTTATTAATAATCACTTACTTTTAATCGTTTTCATTCCCACAGTTATCTCCAGCTGTGCACAATGCTGGAGTCGAGCCAATCGGTCCTCGGCTTCCAAAGCTTCAACATGGACTGCAGCAGCCTGGAGCAGGTGTTCTTCACCATCTGCCATCAGGCGGACTCGCCACAGCAAGTTGTTGAATTGGGTATACCTGGCTTTCTTTAATGTAAGAAGATGACTAGCAAGCTGGTGTTTCACCTGATTTTAAGTGATGACCGCCCATGGAGAAGACTCGTAGGGTTACAGATGCATTGCCACCATTTAATAAAGTGGGCCCCGATTACCTCAATCATCAGACGAAACGCAGAAGTGTAACACTTTCACTTCACGCCGGTCTTCTGTGAGGTCGTGGTACTTCCCTGGATGAACCTGCCTATCCATACCACAGCAAAAACTTGCATTGCCCTTACAGTATACATATAAAAGATGAAATGTTAATGATAACTCAAGTTTCAGACGTGCCATCGAAAAGCGCTTCTACGTCCAGCTTGCGCAACGACCGCGCCCCGCTAGTCCCAGCGGAGGGCCCACTCGTGGGTTCCGCGTGGGACCAGTTTCTCGCGCTACTCTACGCACGCTACCTTCACTATACGAGAAACAAGTAAGACATTCTTATTTAGCTCCTTCCCTTTGATGATGTTAAAATAGTGCAAAAAAAAATTGTACACCAAATCAAAAGAAGCTTCATATATGCCCTGGCATGTTATTTTCACCTCTGCAGGCAAAGTGAAGTCAATGAATTTGTAGTTTACCAGTTTGTTAAATGGGAAGATTAAAACTAAGTTATAGTAACAATAGTTATGGCAGCCTGGCTAGGCACAGCCCGTATCATCGGCATAGAAATTCCTACGAAAGAAATATATTTTAAAGAATTCTTCTTTGTGGCTTTATCTATGAAGAGGAGAGTCTTTAAATAAGGGTACACAATAACAACACACAAAAATATATCTAACCCTAGAACGTATATCTCTTTAGGAATTGTACAACTATATATCTTTCGGGATAAAATCAATTATTACCTATCAATTGAAGAGGGCAGAAGCTCGGTTAAAATCAAGCAAGATTGCCGTAGATCACTTTCACTAGGCCTGTTCCTCCTGCAATGCTTATATTGAACAATTTGTATTTCAGATCACTGCTATTCATGCTGCTAATACTGCCGTCACTGTTCGTAATAATAGCGATGGCTTTCTCCAATATCCGCCCGCCTGCGAATAACGAGATCGCTCTGCAGCTGCATCGGGACTTGTATCGGAACACCACGGAATTTCTAATGTATGTACTTTGATTGAGACGGATAAAGATACGTGATAAGTATATAATGTCATACCGCCACAGTACCATACCACAGCTGTGCAAAGACCTTCATTCCTTTCCTCCATTTTAATTAAAAGTTGAATGGTAATAACTTATTTGGCATTAATATTAAACATGGTCCGGTATGTTTAATTTCTGTATATCCTTTCAATAGCAATATAGGAATACACAAATTACAAATCGATAACTCACGGCTCCACAGTTTGCAGGTAATAAAATATTTATTCTGGACTGGAATCTAACCTGCAACAGCATTATGTATCTTATGGTGTAGCGATTGCGGCAATCAAATCATCCAATGTTTGGATAGCGTATAATAGGGTTACAGCTAGAATTGTTTCAGGACCAAAATTCATGAAAACTTCAGATAATCTTGAAGACTGTTATTAAAAAAAATATCCCTTAAAGGTAAATTGAATAAACCTCATACGATACACAAAACATTATTTAGCTAAAATATATCGAATCATTTTCAGAAAAACTCCATCTATAGAAAGTGATGGGATCAGTCCAGTGTTTGCTGAAGAAGTCATGGCTGTCCTGAAACAGGAGAAGCAAGCTCGAAATTGGACGCTAAAGGTAATAATAATCGAACCACGATCTCAATTTATGACAATAGCACAACGTTTCTTTCTTGATTGCATTTTAACTAAAAACTTTTAAAATTCATTAGGTCTGTTAATAAAATAATCTCACGGAATGTGTGATCTTTTTGTCAAAATAAAATATTTTTATAGGACAATCCAGTTTGTGAATGCTTGGACACAAAGCAACAGTGTGACCTCAGCGACGTGGACACGACAAATCTCCCCGAGATGATGCTATTTTCCGACGTGAAAACATTGAACGACTGGCTTATAGCGTCGCAAGAAGTTTACATTGAGAAAAGGTTTAACATTAAAGAGTTTATAATTAAATTATATCCAGCATCAGGACCAGATCCCAGTTATAGATGAAACTATTATCAAATTACATTAATCAATGTTAAATCTAAACACCTGTTTAATTTAAAATTCCACAGAGTGAATGATGAGCAAGCTTCTACACTTATTGTCCAATGCATTATTCTCTTCCAGTAAAAATCAAACTGTCTTAACGACTTCTATATTGGATGTATATGGCAGGATATGTTGAGTTCGAAAAATGTTGATCTTATTCATGCACTACCCATTCCTATTTCTTTTAATGTGAAAAGTTGCCAGACGAGCAGGTGGTTCACCTGATGTTAAGTGAATACCGCCGCCCATGGACATCTGCAACACCCGAGGGTTGCAGATGCGTTGACTAACATTTGTAAATTGGGCTCCGGCTATCTCACCCACCAGATGAAACTCGAAAGTGTTATACTTCCACTGTGTGCCACAATATTTATCCTAATAAGCAAATGTCTCATCACAACTTCTCAGACTGTGCTTGTGGCTTAGTGTAAAAATGTGTCCTGTTAATTGTTACGGTTGAAGATACTAAAGAGCAAAAATCCGTTTAGATATGGTGGCTACTCGGCAAACACTAAGAGCAACATGTCGAACCTGGTGGTATGGTACAATAACAAGGGCCACCACGCGATGCCGGCGTACCTCAACGCGCTCAACAACGCCGTACTGAAGGTGGTCACAGGTCGCCACAACGCCAATATCACTACGTACACGCACCCACTGAAGATATCCAACGAACCTATTAACAAGGACACCGTGTAAGTTTAAAGTTGCCAGTAATTAAATCACTATGTAGGTAAATAATTTTTCTGGAACAGACAAAAACTTTTTCGTTCAGAAACATGGAGAATAAAGTCTAAGCAGTATCTTCAACTCTCATAAATTTTTTGTTAAATTAAATTTTCGTGCACTTACATTTCATTTTAACATTTAGCCACAATCAATGAAAATCTAGAAAATAGTTATCTAATGATGAGATATGAGAGTTTGAGAAAAACCGCTGATTGGTTTGAAATTTGCATAGCAAACCTATGATTTTCAGGTATCAGCACATCGCCGATGCTGGTATCACAGCTATGCTGCTGATAGCGTACAGCTTGGTGAGCGCTGGAGGCGCTATCTACCTGGTGACGGCGCGCTGCAGCCAGGAGAAGCGATTGCAACTCCTGGCTGGTGTCACACCTGCGCTATACTGGACCACTGCCCTTGTCTGGGATATGATTGTGAGTAGTACTTGAATTTATATGTGTATTAATTTATCTCCTTTGAAAGGAGTTTCAGCCCATTTTCGTTTGACTCGAAGTTTCTATCATAAACCGGCTCAGGGAATAACGTTGGTTTGTTTATACCAATGTTAAATTTATTGACACAAACGTTGTTTTGTCATATAAATTATATCTAGGGAATTTGTAAGGTAGAAAAAATGTTTGGGGTGGACCATCCTATTCACTTAGGAGTATGAAAAATAGATTACGACTGATTCTCTGACCCACCAACTAGTAGATCAATTGACGAAAAACTTTTCACTGATGCAAGGACACAAAACTGCGCCTTCCGGGTAACTCGCCCAGATAATCTAACCACTAAGCTAAGCTAGATTTGGACCTAATCCATTCTTGATAAACGAACAAAAACTTTCGGCGCTGACGGATTTGAACCTGCAACTTTTGACTTCGTGCCCAGACGCTTCACCGACTAAGATAAGAGGCCGAAAAACTCATGACGCGAAAATCTCGACATTATCTACGTTATTTCTATTTCATTTAATGCTTGGCGCCATCTAGTGTACATCCTTTACAGCATACAACACCTTACAAAGAACATTCGCCATTGCTCCTTTCTTTTTTAGGAGCAATCGCAACGCAGTCAAGTTTCAACTTAAGTACTGTGCTTAAGTAGTGACTGAAAACTCATCATGTTCTATATGAAACATGCATGGTTTTCATTTAAGAAATTTAATATATTACGTTATATTATTTATACAGTATAACGATACTAACATAGCATTCGTATTGTAAGTATTTTTCGTTTTTAGTTCTGTAACATTAATGTTTTATTCTATACAGATTATCCTGATAAACATCTTCATCACGGCGATGGTACTCCAGGCGTTCCACTTTCCCGTATTCGTGACGAAAAGCAATCTGTCTGCAATTTGCTTGCTTATACTTTTGTATGGGTAAGATCCCCACATTTTATTTATCTGGCGGTACTTATCGAAACCATAAATTAACATTTAAGATAGGATGGGTTCCCATTCCTTATAAAAAAAATTGTATGGCTTTTCTGAGATTTTATCAATTAATTAAATAAGTCGGCATTGCTTTATAAATCTAGATTATGTGTTTGTAATGTTTTTTTTTTTTTCGTTACAATTAAAATTAGTACCAAATTAACTACTTATACCAAATTTAGAAGCAAGTGCAAAGATGTATCAAATCCTCACATCTTGATTGTACTAAATATTTAAGTTATTCGTTTTGAAATATTTTTAAATGTTTTTCATTAGAATTTGTATTCCAATTTTTTTTAATAAGATGAGCACCCATTTGAATATTACCTGATAGTTTTTAGCCGATATAATTCTACAACAGCCTTGATATAATTTTGGTATTTTGGCATATCGCTTAGATATCTATAAATCAGAATTGCGATAAGGTCAACAAAGGAACCATCCAATTTCAGTTACGGCTGCGCCGGAGTGGTGCACGTTACCGAGAAGCTTTTCTCCCAGCCCAGCCTCGCCAATATGATCCTTTTCTGCGCCAACACTTTCGTCGGAGTTGTCGGCATCACACTCCTCCTCATCCTCGACGTCATATCTGAATCTGACGTGAGTATCTTATATATTACTACCCTTATATATTATAGAACACACCTTTATATTTGTCTATCTATTACATTTTATTCACCGTAATACCTCAAGAACACGATTACTAACATTTCTTTCGTATGTAAATATATTTTACTGTACTATAAGTAACTATATATTTATATTTTATTACAAAGTCTAGTTAGTTTATAATTTGATCTCAAAAGTTACAATTTGTTTATATAAAAATATGTATTTTTTTTACAATTTAAGCACATTATTATACATTTTTGATTAACATTGCTTTAATAATGCGTGAACGGATTCTTAATTATTGTTTTATTAAAATACAATAGATAATTTTAGTGTGTATAGAAATGTGTTTGATGTAAGCATAAACTGACTGCCTGTCATTTATAAAATCCCTCCATTCGCAGGCGACTGACAACGCACGTTGGATCTTGCACAAGGTCTTCCTCCTCTGCCCTCAATTCGCTCTTGGGGACGGAGTTCTGGAGGTCGCCAAAAACACTATCCGGGCACAGGTACTTGAACGAGTACTCACAATCAAATATTTTTTGCTTACGGAAGAATACGGCAGCCGAGCAGAGGGACTGATGATAAGTAACTGACGCCAATGGACAAGCACCCCGCATCCTGCACACGTAGGATTGCAGATGTCAACCAAAGATGGCATAGACTCCGTAGTTTAACTGTGGTAGGGCCACGAAACAGGTTCGCTGTTGCAGAAATGGGCAGGTTCGTGGGGAAGTGTCATATATGTCTTTGGGTTGCAGATGCGTCGCCACCTTATAATAAAGTGGGTCTCGGCAACCTTACTCACCAGACGAAACGCAGAATTATAATTACTTCCACTTTGCACCAGCCTTTTGTGAAGTTCACTAATAAAACAAAAAAAGCTGCTACGGGGCTAAGATCTAGCTATTGTACCAACAGTTTTCATTTCCACATTCGTATCGTAGACTTTTGCATCGTGAATCAATTTTCCCACCGACTTTGCATCCAATTGCAATGCATCTTTAACGGTCGGTTTCAATATTCTATCTACAGATAGATTTGATTACTGGAGATAGAATTTTAACGTGAGTATTATGAAGCTAATGCCAAATACCTATCGCTAGTAACCAAATCTATCTGTAGATTGAATATTGAAACCGGCCGTAAGACTGTCAACTGTCAAATGGGGGAAAGGTGTTTTCACTTAACAAATATGTTTATCCATAGGTGCTTAGCCAATTCGGTATGGACACGTACCGGGATCCCTTGTTCAGTGACCTGATAGTGCTCCACTACTCCTCGCTGGTGCTGGTCGGCACTGTGCTGTTCTTGATGAACCTCGCCATCGAGTATGACTGCTTCGAGGCCCTGTTCGTGAAGTAAGTGGTATTTGCACCTACTGAATATTTAGAGTCGTGATAGATCACTAGATATCGCGCGCTTTTAATTCAATATAATCGAGCAAACTGAGTTCTACCCCCGGTGCCGGCACCAGTGGAATTTTTGATATTAAGTGCTGAATTATCACATGCTCAGCGATGAAGGAAACCATGAGGAAACCTGCATGTTTTCGAAATATTAACAAAAAAGAACTATTTCGAAAGTGTGTGAAGTCCGTCAATCCCCAGTGAGCTCGCGTGGTGGACTTGCCTAATTGTGCTAATTGTGCTAACCCAATGTACAGAGAAGGCCTTTGCAGCAAATAAGATAGTTACAAAAATAAATAGTTACAAACGTTAGATAAATAGTTACGTTAGATAAATAATTACAAACGTTCAGATTTGTGAAAAAATCTGTCATAAAACCCAAATTTATGGTACTCTTCTATATCTAAAAAAATATCTTTTGATATGTGGGTAGTTTGCGATTCTCTGTCGTTAATCAATCGTTGAGCGTTAGTGAGTTAAAAAAGCGTTGAGGTTATTAATGCTTGTTATTTTATTTTCTTTCACTAGGTTCCGTTCGGAGACAATCGAGCCGTTGCCGGGAAGCGATTTGGATCCGGAAGTTTTGGAGGAGAGACGTCGTGTATTAGCTTCACGCACTCCATTACGTCTACATACCATTGGCAACATCAATGCAGGTAACACAACAAAGGCCATGTTATACTATTTGTTAAAATGGTAACAAAGCATTGAGCACAAATAAACATGGAAGCATTAATGTCGCTTAAAATGTCATAACGATAAACTAGACCGTGATGGCCCGGGGCTTATAAACCGTACCGCGAGGTGGTTTTAGGGATGTAGGCTTAGTTGAGGTAACAAATAAGTTCATTTTTGTTTGACGGCGCGTGATTATAGTCAGTGTGAGTTGTGGTGCCATATTTTATTAATAATCACTTATATGAACGTGCGGCTTCCATGTAGCGTTCACTGTAACACAGTTATAAATGAACTACAAATTTCACAAATTTTAAAAATACATTATGGCAGATTTCGAATAAACGTGTAACTTAAAGCGATTAGTCTCATCAATGATCATTTCATGCTCAGGTTATTTGGAGACAGAAGAGAAGAACTCAATCAAGAGTGGGACGTGGCTAGAGAGCGACGTGGCGCAATGCGAGCGACTGGGCAAGGCGTACCCAGCGCTGGGCGGCCGCAGGGTGGCAGTGCGCGACCTCACGCTGGGCATCCCACCAGGACAGGTAAGCCACCGACAAAAACAGATTGCACAATATCTGTTGGCGATGTCTACGAGTGACGCAGATTCATGAGGTGTCTAAGTTTATTGAATCCGTGGGGCGGGGCGTTAGAATTTCCAGAGACCTCGTAACTAAGAAAAACTTTACACTCTCTCAGACGGATATTGGATATAAACAAAGATCCGTTAAAGTCCGGTTTCAGGTTTCAAACTCTAACGAACTTGTTATTATTTTATTATTTGTAAAGTTGCGAGAAAGACCAATGCGAAAAAACAATACTCGTATAATACCAACGAGCAGCTCACGTATAATAACTAATATTAGATATAACAGAAAGAAAATGACGAAGATGACTCCGTGCAGTTTCCAAGGTATTGGCTTCGGCGTCGGGGATAGTGGGTTCGATTCCCACACGGGACAACTGTTTGTGTGACCCACAGATAGTTGTTACGCATCTGGGTGTTTGTCCGCGTGAAATTTAGGTTTGTAAAACGTCCTTACAACACGGGATAATGTTATTTTAATGTAATTTAAAAAAAAATAAGAAATAAAATAAATTTATTTACCTTTTATTTTAAAAAAAAGGGACGCACACTACAAAAAAACTGAATTTAACAAAAAAGAAGTTTTAACAAAAAAGAAACTATAGAAAAAAAATAAAAAAAATATCGTCTTAAATACTAGTTAAAACAAAACAAAACAAAATAAATATATAAACGAAAGATATCTTAAACAGAATAACGAGCGCGATACAAAGTTCAAGTTAACCACATGCACTTCTGCGGAGTAGAAGCATCTTCAAAAATCGTTATCATTTCTACATTGGACTGGATTGATATTGTATTTGATTTGAATTAATGTGATGAATTGCAGTGCACTGCCCTGCTGGGTCAGAACGGTGCCGGCAAATCGACCGCCTTCTCGATGCTGACGGGCGAAATCAGACCAACGTCTGGCAGCATCTATCTGAACGACAGGCGCGTAGACCCACGTGACCTCTGTCAAGGGCTCATTAGTAAGTATTCATCTTTGGTCATCATCGTTGCTGAAAGTCACCAATTAGAATCATAATCAATGACTACATTTTAAATTTGTACCTTGACAATTAAGTCAATATTGCACATTTGCAATACAATATTCTATTGTCTCCATTAATCAGTCTCTATCACTGATGGCTCGGGGGCACACAAACTATTGGCCTTCGCGCTGGGGGTCGTGGATTCTGTTCCCAAACGGGTCATTTGTTTGAACGACCCACAGATTATTGTTCCGGATCTGGGCTGACGGCCTGTCGTAAAAAATTTAGTCTAAAAAACCGCACGAAACAAATGTGTAATCCACAAAAGTTGGGTAACGTCAGCAGAAAGAAGAAAAAGAATCAATTACGACCGGTAAAATGTCTGCGGCAATTTTACGACCTGAAAACCCCATATAAAATACTTATATAAAGAGATTTATATTATTTAATTCTTCATTCTACGTATTTGCAGGCTACTGCCCACAAAGCGACGCCATCGACCCTCTACTCACAGTACGAGAGACCCTAAAGTTCTACTGCAAACTGCGAAGTATAACTGATGAAAAAGAGGTAAGATTGACTAATATCAAGTAAAGTTGCAAAGTATCAGCCTATACGTGTCCCACTGCTGGGCTAATGTCTCTGTACAGATGGTGTTAGTACTGTAACGATATTTTTAAGCAACAAAATTTATCTTCATATTCAACTCCCATGGTTTCGAAATATTTTAGTAGCCATAGCGGCTCCATCGAAATGAATATCCCATCAAAGCTTTCTGCAATTCTTGTAAATGTAGATAAAAGCAAAAAAAAGTTATTAACAATTGAATGCCTTCAATTCAAGTACTCTTTTTATGATCTTTGTATATTCATAATATTAACGCTATTTTGGTTGTTATGTACCTTTTTTCTTAATAAGGATTGTGATGTACAATACAATACAATATCAGCCTATTGTCGTCCACTGCTGAACGTAAGCCTCCCCCAAAGTACACCAACTATCCCGGTCCTGGGCAGCCGTTCTGTACGTTGTTCTGGAACAAATCACTTCGTACTCTGTAATTTTCCTAAGTAATTTATTCGGTATCACGAGTATCGGGTTTATTTCCAGGTCATACGGAGGACTATCGATATGTTCGACCTCGCGAAGTACGCGGACGTCCGCAGCGGGACTTTGAGTGGTGGCAACAAGAGGAAACTGTGCACGGCCATCGCCTTCATGGGCAGAACGCCGTTGGTGCTTCTGGACGAACCGACTAGGTGTGTTCATTTTCATTTCTTTAAAGTGAAAGTTCTACTGCAAACTGCGAAGTATAACTGATGAGAAAGAGGTGACAATGACTAATATTAAGTAAAGTATCTAGTACTATTTTACAGTGGTAGGGCCAAGCAACAGTGTTCGCTGTTGCACGAACGGGCAGTCCTTCCGGGTTAGTACCACGACCTCACGTAACTTCTACACTTACTACATTTCTACTTTACGACCGGCGTAAAGTAGAAGTGTTGCACTTCTGCTTTTCGTCTGGTCACTCACCAGGTAACCCGGGCCCAAATGATTAAGAGGTAGCAACACATCTGCAACCCTACTTGCAAATTTCCATGGGTGGCGGTTATCACTTAACATCTGGCGAACTGCCAGCTTGTCACATAAAACAAAATGAAGTCGGTGTTGCTTTAAAGTGAGTTTCAAAGAGACATCATCATCATCCTCCTGCCCTTATCCCACCTATTTGGGGTCGGTACAACATGTGTCGTTTTTACGACGGGCCGCCTGCCTGACGTCAATCCTCTTAGGGAAACAAACACCCAAATCCGAAACAATTGTTTGTCCCGTGTTGGGATCGAACTCGTGACCTCCGGCTCCGAAGCCAACAGCTTAGCGACGGCTTCTTGTCATCCGTCTTCCGGCCGTTGGTCTTTTCCGATACAACTTCAAAGAGTTACGGCGGAAAAGACCAAATGTCCCAATGCCCAAAAGCTACATAACGGCATCCCACAGCGGCATGGACCCCGCGTCGCGTGCGTGCGTGTCGCGCGGCGTGCGCCTGGCGTGCGCCAGCGGGCGCGGCGTGTTGCTCTCCACGCACGCGTTGGAGGACGCGCGGAGACTGGCGGCGCGGGTTGCTCTGCTGCAGGCGGCGGCGTTGCGCGCCCTAGCACCGTTGGACCGCTGCTTGCGGAGGTAAGGGGGCAGGAGAGAGAATGAATATGGGGGAAAGGGAAGGCGTCACTGACATGAAGTTCGTCAGGATGATGTTGATCAACGTATATAGATAGATCCTTTTTGGCATAACTCAAAAGTGTGAACTTTTGTTTCTGCCGCTTCCCTGGCCATTTCGACGATACCTTTGAGAAGAAGTTGTGAGTGACAACCGAATCTACTTGGCTAGTAGTTAATTTTAACAAACGTAAACCAAGTTAAACGGACTACGCGCAATCGAAACGAAACTTAAAATTAACAAAATTTTGTTAGTGTTAAACGAAACTTTAAATTAACAAAATTAGTTTTTAAATTAACAAAACCTAAAAAAAGCGCGCATGCGCCGTACTAATTCCATCGTATTTTATATACGTCGCCTTTTCTCTATCTCGCCTCTTCTCTAATTCTGTACTACTTCTCTTTCATATAACGTATGTGTCAAGAGCGTCGCGTCCTTGAAATTTTACTTCAAGCACTTTAGCCTCCGCTGTGCGTATACGAGTATGTACGTCGCCTTTTCTCCGTCTCTATCTTCCTTCTCTGTCGTGTAACGACAAGCACTCATACACTGTACGGTCGCGCCCACAGGTTCGGCGGCGGGCAGGCGGTGTGGTGCCGTGTGCGTGGGGGCGGCAGCGTGCGCGCTGTGTGGCGAAGGGTACGCGCCGCCGCGCCGCAAGCCCAGCTGCAGGTCCTGCACAGCTCCGCCCTGCACTTTTTGCTGCCGACGCACGCAAACGGTCAGTGCTGCAGTCGTAGAACGTACCTACTTTGTATCCTTTCCCAGGTTATCACTTATCATGTTAAGTGATGACCAATTTTAACCTGATGTTAAGTGATAACCACCTGAACGTGACTCCTATTGGTACCTGGAAGATCACTAAACCGGTAATTTCAGAAATAACAACGTGCTTGTTAACGCATCCCGTTCCACCAGGCCCGTAATTGTGAGCCAATTTAACAATCTGATTAGGATGTTTACGTGCGGAAGGGTCGCGTTTTTATTTTTTTCTTTAAAAAAAAAAGAAAAAAGAAATTTACTGAAAATAATCATGGATCCCCATTATAAGTCTCACGCATCATAAGCACTTTTAATGCGACCATATGTTTATTTATACACTTGCTATATGTGCTGGTCTGCACTTTATATGAAACTTTATCCTTTTGAAAAAAAAGCATTTTATATAGTTCACCTATTAAACTCACAATTTACTTGACCATAAAATTGACCACGCCCGCTTTCAGTGGACGGCAAGGAAATTACCACGAAACTGAGCGACGTGTTCCGCCTTACCGCTGAACTGTTCACCTCCGGCGACATCGAGGATTTCACCGTCAACCAAAGCTCGCTGGATCAGGTCTGTATTTATTTATGTTCCCCTCAATGGCGCAGTGTTTCTTGCCGGCTCTTCTCTGGACAAATCCTTACTAAGATTATAAAGACAAAAGTTTGTATGGATGTTGTTACTCTTTCACGCAAATACTACGGAATGGATTTTAATTAAACTTTACAATAATATAGCTTATACATCAGAATAAAACAAACATTTATATACATATATTTATGTATATATGTCTTTGTCTGTATGTTACGCCTTCAGCCTATTCTGCGCAGACGTAGTCGCGGGCAGCACGTAGTAAGTTAATAAGCCCTCAATAATGTTTCACATCAGATGTTCCTGAACTTCGCTGGATCGAGCCGGTCTCGGGGCACCGAACTTGAGGTCTTGGGTACGCCACCCGCCTCTCCATACCACAGTTGCGAAGACCTCAGCGCTGTCACCGCTCTATGATTGCAAAAAAAGCTACCGCAGATGGGGAATAGAAAATAATAATAACCTTATCCCAATAAAATGCCCTTCCATCCGGACGAAAGGATATCCAGAAATAACTACGTATTTCTATTTCTATTGATGTAATGTCTTAAAGGAACTGATTGCAATAGTAGTGTATGCGTTGTCGACGTGTGGTTAACACTATAACAACGAAAAGCATAATCCATATCTACAAAAGATGTATAATTGTTACAAAAAAGCTGACTTTAGACCTTAAATAGATTGAATTGAGAATAGATTACAATTAAGAAGAAATAAAATAGATTGAATTAAAAATATTGTAATTGAATCGATACGTGACATTTCGTTAAAAGGTTTATAAATGGGGGTCGTGACTCTGGGCTGAAGAGGTTGACAGTTAGACGATATTTATGTTTACGATAGAACTCAATTCTATTCTGTAACATTAATCGGACCAAATTAACAGGGGTAATTGTAGATGATCAAATCATATTTAACATGTTCTTTATCTTTTCTGACCATTATTGACCAAGTCCTCACCAGACTTCACTTTTTGCCAATTTGTTTTTTTTTAATTACGCAACTAGTTTTATTTAAACGATACATGTTCTATTCTGTAAATAACTTATTGTGATGTCTTTATACTCGTAATAACCAATGTCGACACATAAAGTCAATTCAAAAGATTTCAAAATGTACGTGTACAATTCTTATGATGACTGTGGCGCAGTTGCTAAACCTTTGGCTTCGGTGCAGTGGATCGTGGGTTCGATTCCCACACGGGACAAGTATTTTTGTAACCCCAAGATAGTTGTTCCAGATCTGGGTGTTCGTTCCTATATATATAATTTAGGGGTTTGTGAAAAAATGAACTCTTGAAGACAAATGTATGACATTAAGTTGGCGATCTTTGAAATAAACGTCTACGATCGCACTGTAAACTATTTATCATTTAAGTATATAATTATTTAGTCAATGATTTAAGAACACTGCTTATTGAATAAAAACAACGTGTTTTGTAATGAGGAACTTTATAGCACGACATGGGATGTTTAATGGTGTCTTTTGATTGTTTAGAATCGTTTAGAATTCATACTAGTTTGTTTTACATTTTTCAAATTCCTACTCTTTAGACTTTGGTTAAGTTGCAGATTGCACTTCCTAGCAATGCCAGGACCCACTACTGTACTCTTTTACCTATATAGTGTAAGTGTAAATTGCATCAACACATCCCCAAATCTAACTCTAAGGGCCCATTTACACGATGCCATTTTCTTGTACATACAAGAGCAATAATTGAATGCAATAAATTGCGCGCAATAATTGTTTAGACCATTTGTTGTTTAGACCATGCAACTCATTTATTGCTTCAATTTAATTGTATACAACAGGCAAGAAACTGGCATCGTGTAAATGGGCCTTAAACGGTATGCTTTTGCAAATTGTGGTACCAACTAGGACCATAATCGTCACTGGAAAGGCAAAGTTACTTAAACGTTAAAAAATTATTTGGTGGTTAAGTAATTTCGCCTTTACAGTCACGAATCTTATATGTCTGAGGGAATAAGAAAGACATCTATAGTCGTGCTACGAAGGACGTGATTTTTACCTTAAATTACTGCTATATACCTCGATGTTAAAACAGTGCCTTTCAAATCACGAATTAGTTTTATTGAATAACACAAAACTATAAACGCTAAGAGAATTTATGTGGTGTCAAACACTGCACGCAAATAAGTAGGTGGAATTTGCTTTGTAATAGTGAAAAAACCTTTCTACTATGCGCTCTGTGATATAACTATTATTTAATGGATGCCCGTATGAGGTGATGAACAATAAATATTTTCGTACGGTTAACGGTAACATGTTGTTTCATTTATCCGGAATGTGAATTGTTTAGTGATGCGCGCGTACACCGACAGCAAAAAGCAACTTAACGGTATTACTACTAGAAGCCAGGGCCCAAAATTATTATTAGGTGGCAACACATCTGTAACACACCGGGTGTTGAAAATGTCAAAAGCCGGCGGTTATCATGTAACATCAGGTGAACCGACAGCTCGCTTGACCACTTCTCTCAGAAAAAATGTTTTTTTGACAGAAAAGCAAATAAGTAGGTGGAATTTGCTTTGTAATAGTGAAAAAACCTGTCTACTATGCGCTCTGTGATATAACTATTATTTAATGGATGCCCGTATGAGGTGATGAACAATAAATATTTTCGTACGGTTAACGGTAACTTGTTGTTTCATTTATCCGGAATGTGAATTGTTTAGTGATGCGCGCGTACACCGACAGCAAAAAGCAACTTAACGGTATTACTACTAGAAGCCAGGGCCCAAAATTATTATTAGGTGGCAACACATCTGCAACACACCGGGTGTTGAAAATGTCAAAAGCCGGCGGTTATCATGTAACATCAGGTGAACCGACAGCTCGCTTGACCACTTCTCTCAGAAAAAATGTTTTTTGACAGAAAAGATTACTGACACAGAGGATAAAATGTTTAGTTATTTTTCTTTTGTTACGCTAAAGAAGTATAACTTCTTATCCATATACATATACACATACTTTTTATGTATGTACAATTAGTGTTATACGCGCAGTTGTAACCTTTTGTTAGATAATTACCGCTTCACGTACATATAAATCAAGAATACCTGTGAACTACGTTGCTAATCTTTAAAAGAGTGGGCAATGGTTAACTTACTCACAAGGCGAAATGCAAACATAATACTTCTACATACCGAACTTCTATGAGGCTTTTGTTACATACACAGCAGAAGATGCTGTGTGCTACCATAAAAAATTAACATGCATTCATATGCATTAACGGACTGATGGTCTTTTGCTGTACATACGATTGATTTATTAACCGACTTCTAAAAAGGAGGAGGTTTTTAAAATCGGTTATTAAGTTTGTTACCCAAAACTGCGCCATTTATGAACCGATTTAAAGTTGTTTTGCATGCATTTTCATATCATTTGCATTGGGCCTGCATTCCGGAGATACGTCAGGGAGATCCTCAAAATCAAAAATAAAATGTTTAGTGAGCAAGATATTTGAAGTCGGCCAAAAATATTTTAAAATTACTTAATTGGAATGACTGTTGTAGACGGGCAGCTGAACGTCGCGTCAGTTTCTTTAAAAAAGTTTTTTTAAGCAAAAAGTGGGCAAAAGGGCGGTAGGCTCACTTGATGGATAGTGATCACCAGACCAGGTTGATTGTTTCCCAGGTCGCAACGGTTCGGAAAGACCGCCAGCGGCAGCTAGTTCCGCAGAGTGGTTGTATGAGACAGAAAATGCATTGAAAATGGCGCTGTCTTGGAACGCTGGACCTAGAGGTGGTGTGGATGAAATTTCTGGTTTTGGCGCGATGTCCGATGGTGAAATTCAGCGGTCGGGATCAATCTAAACAATACCTCGGAACACTCCCCGTGATTGATGCGGTAGAAGATGCCGAGTGTTAAGTTACTTACTTATACTTTAACTGATGGTTCTGCTGTCTTGCATGAAGTCCGTACTGTTAAAGCATCATCAAACGCAGACTCGTGGGCTAGCCAGCACCCACAAGTTTGATAACTGGCATCGCGTTTGTAGGCGCCTGGTATGGCAAACAAAAATATTATGTTAAGGTATTCTTCATTGGTTTGGCATTCCCCGACATATACAATACTTATATATAGTATTATGTATAGTATTCCTATCATTTGTAAGCTACAACGTTAACGGAGTCGAGGTCGGGGAATTTTTTCCTACTTGCATTAAATGATAAAATGTGTTTTGATGTCGTTTTTCAACTGAAATAAATTAGGATTAATTATTTTTAGTGCTAGTCTCTGCACTCACTAACAATTTAAATGTGGAATTAGCACTAAAAATAAAAATTAATCTTAAAAAAATTAAGAACAATGGCGACATCTCTCGTTATGTTCACGAGTTACGCTAAGGCATGGTGGGCGGTATGTTCACAATTCAGTCTTAAGTCAATGTTTATGTATCGAGTGTGTATTATTGTCACTGGAGGTCAAAAAATGCGGAAAAGATAGATTGACAATAGAATACATTGAAACAAAACAAGAATTATTAGAGAAAGATTGGGTTTCATTCAAGGACACAAACGCTAAGTTATATGAATGTTTTGATTTAAAGGATTTGGAACAGTTTAAAGTCGAAGCGATTTATGATACAGCCGAAGTATTGTTTATAATCGCTTCGACTATTGTTTATAAGAGTTTAATGGAAACAACTGTAAATAAAATTCTGGAAACAAAATGTTCTATACAAAAGGGTGATGAGAGTTCACTTAGCGTTTGTAAATCCTCGAATTCGTCTGTAAAATTGCCTAAGATTGCTATTCCAACATTTTCTGGGAAATTTGGTGAATGGACAGCATTTCACGATCTTTTCACTTCATTAGTTCATAAAAATGATTCCTTAGATAATGTACAAACACTATTTAAAAAGTCACCTCGCTGGCGAGGCTGAACAACTGATACGGCACACACCAATAACTGATGGCAATTATACTCAGTGCTGGAATCAGTTAGAAAAACGGTATAGTAATAAAAAATATTTAAGTAATTGTATTTTAAAAAGATTGTTCGGCCAAAAACGTATGCATGTGGAATCAGCTACATCATTGAAAGACTCGCTTAATACCACATGTGATTGTTTAAATGCGCTTGCAAATTTAAATTTTAACGTGACTACATGGGATGTTATCATCATACACATAGTTAGTTTTAAATTAGAAAACGAAACGAGAAAACAGTGGGAGCTTAGTATTAGCAACGATTCCAACAATGATTTGCCATCCTTTGAACAATTTAAAATTTTCATAGAAAATCGTTTTCGCGCATTGGAGTGTATAGAACCCAAAAGAGGAATGGGTCATCAGGTCAACAACAATAGTTCACATGCTCATAATCCGAGAGCCATAATAGCAACCAGGTCAACAAGTGTACGATGTGAATTCTGCACAGAAGCTCATAAACTTTGCTTTTGCAAGAAATTTGCAAAGCAGCCCATCGAGAGTCGACGTAAGTTTGTGTTGCAAGCTAAAATCTGCTTTAACTGTTTAGGCAGCAATCACACCGTGCATAAATGCAAAAAACAGACCACTTGTAGTTTGTCAGAAGCGTCATTATGCGCTTCTGCATCTTAACCTAGAGCCAAATAGTAAAGATCAAACTGCTTCAACAAACGTTTCTAACGCAAGCACTAATAATTCAACTGGTTCTGACCAGATAGTTTCGTGTTTTTCAACAGGTAACGTTCCCAAGCCTAGACAGGTTTTATTAGCCACGGCGCTAATACAAGCTGAGTCAAAGACGGGTGTATACCAAACTGTCCGAGCCTTGCTTGATCAGGGCTCTCAAGCTTGCTTCATCACCGAAGCTGCAGTCCAATTTCTCGGTCTGAAAAAGATTCCTATTCAAGGAATTATTTCAGGACTCGGAGGAAATAGTTCAACCATGACGAAACACATGGTACATCTAAGTATAATGTCTCGAGTGCATCCCGATGTTATGCTTAAAGTTAATGCTTATGTATTAAGCAAAATTACCTCGTACTTACCGGAGCGTAGTATTAGTACAACCTTAGATTGGCTAGAGATTTCAAGCTTGGGTCTTGCTGATCCAGGGTACAACAAGCCCAGTAGAATAGAAGTACTATTGGGTGCTGAAGCTTATAGCAGCATCATAAGGGAAGGTATCGTAAAAAGTCCTTCTGGTACAATGATTGCTCAAAATACCGCTTTAGGATGGGTCCTATCTGGCGCAGTTACTCCAGATGATAATGACAAACCAACCACCATCAACGTAATGCATACCCAAATCAATGAAGATGACATACTTAGAAAATTTTGGGAAATTGAAGAACTCAATAGTTCCACAAAAATATTCACACCAGAAGAGGAGAAATGTGAACAATTTTACAAGGCTACAACTAGGAGAGATGTCAATGGTAGGTACATTGTCGACTGCCCTTTCGAGATCAAACTACTACCTGCAATTTTGGGAACTCACGTGCTGTAGCTGAGAGAAGATTTAAAAGCCTAGAAAGAAGATTTTTTAATAACAAAGATTTAAAGGAAAAGTACACAGAAGTTATGAAAGAATATTTAGACTTAGACCACATGAGACAAGTAACAAAAGATGATGCTAATACAGAAATAGCTATCTACTTACCTCATCACGCTGTAGTACGGGAAGACAAGACTACAACAAAGGTTCGTGTTGTCTTTAATGCATCTGAAAAGAATAGCAACGGAGTCTCACTAAATGATTTACTCATGGTAGGGCCCACTCTGCAGGCTGATTTAAGACACACGGTGTTGCAGTGGAGACTTCATTCCATAGCACTGGTAGCAGACATAATCAAGATGTACCGCCCACCGTCCAAAGCTGCCACCGCTGAACTTTGTTCTTATCCGGCTCGATTGGACCAAATGTTAAAGACCTCGCGTAGCCTGTTGGTCCGAGCGTCATACACAACGGTAAACTATTGCTGTAGTCTCAAGTTCAAACCCTCATCGAGTGGAGTTGTAATGTTTATATTATTTTCACTTTTAATTTGTCAGCCAACAAATTATTAAACAATGTTTAATACCGACGTTTGATATTAATTTTGACTGGTGTGCACACTAGTAGGAATGTTAAATAAAACCACACTGTGTACTGATCTAAGGCTCGATCTACCAATCTATTTTACTGGGTATCGGATGACAATATATTGAAACTTTGTTCCGCCTTATGTACTATGCCCTATGTACAAACCATAGTGCGTTTTAATTTGATTTTGCGTAGCGATCTCCAGTGACAAAAATACACAAAAAAAAAAAAAAAAGGAATTTGATCGTAGCGACCTCCAGTGACAATAATACACACTCGATACATAAACATTGACTTAAGACTGAATTGTGAACATACCGCCCACCATGCCTTAGCGTAACTCGTGAACACGTTACAAATATTCATCCTTCAATGTAAAAACGTAACAGAGGGCGGACTTAATGCCAAAACGCATTCTCTACAAATCCGCACTGGATATAGTGAGTTTGTGTTAGATGCAGCAAGAGATGCAATGGTTGTAAAATTTTAAATAATGAGAATAAATATAAGATAAATACAAATAAAAATAAGAAATATGTAATAAATAACATTTGAAGTCTAGTTTTATAAAGTATAGTAAATAATAATTGAGTATACATAGTTTTTATTGTAATTATATATAAAAATATACTTACATACAATAGGCTTCTTAGCCCTGAACCTATATCTTAAGTAGGTAAAGCTTGTCTTTAGCAAGTGCTATCATAGCTACTCGTGTATGCGTAGGAAAAATTGTTTAGACAAGACAGATTGCTCTGCTTTGATTTACCTTTTAAACTTTCTTCGGAAAACCCTCGAATATTCTTTGCAACTTGACTAAATTTTTCTGAAAGTAGATCTGTCTTATCCTAAGGGTTCTTAAATCTATTCACTGAATTGATTCGATGTTTTCAATCCATCTAAAAACTGATTATCATACTCAGATAAAATCGAAGAATCGATTTTAAAACGTCGTGCCAAATCACGTGTTTTCGCAATAATATAATGTTGGTATTCATATTCACTTGCGTTTTATGCGCACACTTTGCAATATAATATTATCTCCTATAAAATGTTCTTTCTAACGGAAAGGCGTGTCATTCTCTAGAAACCATTTTTTTTACTTTAAATTCTGGGCATCACATTCATTATCTCTTATGTACTCTGTGCCTACTGCTTTCTTAATTAATCACATGCGTTAGCATCTCTACCATATCTGTGATTAATCAGTTGTCAACTTGTCATTAATGACATCACATCAGACGTGCTGTGTTTACGTGGGGTGGTGATTAATTTTAAACTATGTGAGAACAAAATTATTTAGGAATAATGTAAAAGTAATTTATGTACATCTGTGTATATTATTGATCAGAGATTGTCCTTTTTATTGTTTAGAAAATAGGATCGCTACTTAATTATAATGTTTTGGATATGTTTCACGTAAGTTTTCTGAATCAATTTTACATACATAGCTTTACAATTTAACTGTGGTAGGACCAAGCAACAGTCTTCTCTGTAGCACGAGTGGACAGGTCCGTCCGTGGAAGTACTACAACCCCACAGAAGACTGCGTCTGTGAAGGCGTTTCGTCTGGTGAGTGAGATAGCCAGAGCCCACTTTAAAGGTAAAGGTAAAGGCAACTCATCTGTAACCCTACAGATCTTGCAAATGTCAATGGGCGGTGTGGTTATCACTTAACATCAGGTCAACCACCAGCTTGTTTACCACCTTCTTATATAAAAAAAAATACATTGTTATTTAAAACAATTACACTATTCCGTGTCTTACCTTACAACTTTTTTTATGTGTAAACATATGACTTTCGGTAAACTCCTTGCATCTGAATTTTACTTGTTTGGTAGTAGCTTTTACTGACTTATTAGTGCTAACAGAATTATCATCTTCAACTATAATTGATGTTTGTAAAAGCCCATTTATGGGTGCAAAGTTAAGTAAAATAGTTATAATATTACATAATTTGATAACAACGTTTAAGTTTTTATTTTTATAATATGCAATTTGTTATTTTCAGGTTGTTGGTAATCCTTCCGTTGATGATTGTAGGATTCCTCATCTTCTCAGTTTTCGTTGTTATTCCCCTAGCGTTTATATTTGCATCATGGTATATGAGAATCAAAGAGAGAAAACTGCAAAGATGGCAAAAAGATGGGGCTAATGTAGCATTCTTCCATCCATACTGTAACTCAGGCGGTGGTGGCTGAAAGGGTTCTCTGGGTGGCAATAAAGGCTATATTAACAAGGTAAGTGTGAATAAATAAAAAATATTGAAATGACCATGCCAGTATCAAGAATAACTATTATGAAGAAAACTATATTTTAAATTTTGAAATTAATATTAAAATTCTTATTATAAAGGTTAATTCTTAGATGTTCTATAAATGATATGCCTCTGAGATAGAAAGCAGAGGAGGTTCAACTAAGTTCTGTTGCATACTTGTTTTAGTTATTATTTCACAATATATAGTATTTTCTGTTATCATATATATCTAAATTATATAAGGCAAATCATTCAAGTACCTAATAAAATAAAATTAACATAAAATCATTAATGTTTCAATTCAGGTTTCCAGATTCGAACATCTACATTTACACAGTGGAGAATGCAGAGCCAAAAACAATACTTGACAAAGTGCAAAACCAATTCAATGTAAAGGTCGACCCCGAGAAGATACATTTTGTGCGACTCAGCCTGCAGTGGGCGATAGAAGCAAAGTCATATCCATATTTCACTTTACTCCTACAGAGCTTAGGCTCAATGATCTTGGGAATGGAGGCTTTTATGAAGCTGAATCCAGGTCTCTTAGTTTTCCGACAACAATATTTTTGTTATGTGTTACATATCATCATGCTTTTGGATACGTTTTAGACATCTACATCGACACCACCGGCTTCGCGTTCACCTACCCCATCTTCAAGTATCTGGCGCAGTGCCGTGTGGGTTGCTACGTCCACTACCCGACCATAACACGCGCGATGATGCAACGCGTCAAGCATCGTATCGTCGGCTACAACAACTCCAGCCTCGTCGCACGAAACCCGATCATCACATGGCTGAAGCTTGTCTATTACAAGTTGTTCGGTTGGGTGAGTGCGATGTGTTCCAATAATAATAATTCCATCGGTTTCGGTTAATAAACCAATAATACGGCACTTCGGCAGTGTAATCACCTAAAATCAGTTTCACGACCCTAGGACTGAAAGTGGAAGCGTCATTCGTTGCCGTATTCTGATCATGATTTTCCCGTCGCCAGATGTACGGCGTGGTGGGGCGCTGCGCGGACGTGGTGATGGCCAACGGGACCTGGACCGAGGAGCACCTCAATGAGGTCTGGCAGCTGCCTTACACCGTCCATAAGGTCTACCCACCTTGCGAGGTATACTACCCCTATTTAATTACGTAGGGATCATTAAGTTTCGTCTTGAGTAAGAACTAGAACCAAAGAGAGCCAAGAAAGATTTGGATGGGGATCATAAACTGTCAGCTCATATGCTTCTTATCTTTCTGCCATCTCCTTTAAAGATAGGGAGCACATTTGGCAGGTGACCGAGCTGAAGAAGCTGCGCTCTCTGGTGAAAGAGTCTGACCCCATAAGGATCCTGTCCGTGGCCCAATTCCGCCCCGAGAAGGACCATCCGCTGATGCTGCAAGCGATGTACGAGCTGAGGAATCTCCTCGTCAAGAATGAGATGCTTTGGAATAAGGTTTGGCGTCATACTTACCCTTCTATCATGGATAGCTTTTGCAATATATTTCAACTGATCTAAAAGTTTATAAATGTAAAGAAGATTTAAAAGTTGCCGACCCTCCTGCAACCCTACAAGTCTTGATGTCCCCGCTTGCCAACTTTTAATATTAAAGACACACATTGGAAAGAATCTACTCTTCCTACGCTTGAGCAGATGACAGTCGGAGCGCGGGGTGAGATAGGTACACTTTCGATCGGATATCATAGCCTGAGAAAATAAATGCGGCCAGGGTTCGGGATATAGTTACTTTATAGAGAGTCGAGTACTCTATAGAAGGGAAGGGGTAGTTACGGTATGGACTTGGAACAACACTACTGCCCTTCCAGATGAGACTGGTGCTGGTGGGCTCCTGCCGCAACCGCGAGGACGAGGAGCGGGTGCAGAACTTGCGGGATCTGGCGAAGCACCTCTCCCTGGAGGAGAACGTGCAGTTCGTCGTGAACGCCTCCTACTCTCGGCTGCTGCAGTTCTACCAGACCTCCACGGTGGCCCTGCATGCCATGTGGAACGAGCACTTCGGCATCAGTGAGTGCTCTCTTGAATGGCCTAGCAGTGTTTCTCAAACTTTTTATGTATTGCCCACTTTAGGAAATATTGATTACCTAACGCCCCCCAAAAATCCTACATCTAAATTTTTTACAGAAATATGCAAGGAAACAATAATAGTTTCAAGAAGTTTAATAAACTTCTTGAAAGTGTGAAACGTCTCGCCCACCGGTCTTTATTAAGCGCCCCCAATATAATTTAAAGTTTCAACCGCGCCCTCACATAGCCCACTTTGAGAACTAAAAAATCGGACTAGCCTATCTACAGCCGCGTCTCCGGCTTCGTATTCGTAGTGGATTGCTAGTTTCTTTTTAATTTAGAACTGGCCAGCACTTGGCTGACCTGATGGTAAGTGGCGACGCGGCGTAATTGTTTTTGGTCAGGCGTGGTGGAGTGCATGGCTGCCGGCCTGGTGACGGTGGCGCACCGCTCGGGCGGGCCCCTGCTGGACATCGTGCGGGACTCCCCGACCAGGAACGGCTTCCTGGCCTCGGAGCCGGGGGAGTACGCCAGGGCGCTGCTGGAGGTGGTGGCGCTGCCGGCCGAGTTTCGGCGCAAGATCGTCCAGGCCGCCAGGTACTGACGACCCCGTGGGGCAGTTGCCATTGGGCCCAGGTTGGCTTCGGCGCCGGAGGTAGGGATGTCGAAAGTGGATGAATATATCGATATTTATAAAAATATCAATATCGGCCCGGAATATATCCGGAGAGAAAATAATCGATATGTCGTTATTTTCTCTTTAGGTCGTAGAAACCCCCATTTTCAAGTATTTTAAATATTTGACACCTACAAGCTCTGTGTCGGATTATTGATATAAGATTAAATCTATCTAAAATTACTTATTATGTAATCAACACAATTAACGCGACATGGTGCCAAAATGCTTCTGCTTAACCTTTGAGCGAGAAAAGATCCAGCTCCCTTGTCACCAGCCGCGGCGTTAAGCCTGGGACATAAGGACATAGACATAGTGTCGGATTCGAATTTGAGAAAATAAAGTTATTGATTCTATTTTCGGTTTTGTTTATTTTGTATCGATATATTGGACAAAAATATCGATATATAAAATAAAGAATATCCATATATCGAAATTTTTTCGACATCCCTAGCCGGGGGTCGTGGGTTCGGTGGAGGCGAGACAACTATGTGACCCACGGATAGTTATGGATCGGGATGTTTGTCCACTTGAAATTTATGTCAAACAACATGGTCGTTGGGCCTTACTACCCAACCCGTTCCACACAAAATACTATAAACACTGCTCTGTCAAGGTCCAGATCAGAAGAGCATAGGTGACCGCGCAGATTTACTGTGATATTGCCACACAACAGCTTTCGCTCTTGCACGTATGGGCAGTAGCACTTTCCCGATACGTCTCGTGAGTGAAGAAGCCAGGGCTCCCTTCTTTCAAGGTTGTCAACGCATCTACAGCCATCGGGTGTTGCAGATGTCCATGGACGGCGGTATTCACTTAACATCAGGTGAACCACCTCCTTGCTTGACAACAGGAGTTTGCACATTGTGAAATTCGCTGTGCTTATTTGGTGCTAGTTAGCTAGGACATCTTTATTGCAGAAGCGATGGTAGATTGTTGAACTATCGGTTCTGCAGCGGCGGGTCGTGTGTAAGATCTCGCGCGGGGCAAGTGTCAGTGTTAGTAAGGTAGCCGGGGACGTACGGTTTTTTGTCAACAATTTGTAAAGCAAACCCGCAGATGGTATATAGTATGTCGATAGACGGCGGTAATCACTGACATACTTTAACTGACTCTATCCGGATTGCTCACTACTTTGTCACATAAAAGAAATTAGACTAAGGACTCTGTGGCGCAGTTGCTAAGCTATCAGCTTCGGCATCGTGGGCGTGGGTTCGATTCCTGCACGATATGTGTATTTGTGTGACCCGCAAATAGTTGTTTTGGATCTGGCAAAGAGGGGTGGTATTAAACAGGCCGACCTAACCTCTTACAACACGATTCATCTAGAGGGCAGAAGGATATTTATCGATGACACTATTAGGTGTGTGTATTAAAGTATTTTCTTGTTCGCAGGGACTCCGTCGAGCGCTTTTCAGAGATGGAGTTTGAGAAGGCATTTGTGAGAGCGGTAGAACCTCTCTTTAACATCTCAGCTTAACTAATCGGCTTGTTGCTACTGAACTTACTAAATTCCACTAGTTATAAGTATAAATGTGACATGAGAATAAATTTTACCAAAGTTTATAAGCATTTCTCTTTATAAAAACAGAAACAAAACATACATACAGAATTTACATATTATGTATAAAAATTATTCTTAAATTGTTACAATTTGTTTATTTAAGTGGTATTAAATGTTGAATATGCATTACCAATAATGAAATATACTCATTCAGAGTAATATAAAAATCTATTCAATAAATACAATAGAAATATGTTACCTATTTTTGTCTGTATATGGTTATGTTCATTATTTCTACACCTAGTTTTCAAAAAATATGTGCAACCTCAAAGTTTACTTTAATATCCAACATTTAATATGACTTAGTTATTTAACCTTAAAGGAATGTTCAAAGCACTGCCTAAGTTGAGGGACTTCCCACTCTGTCTCGTGGAATTAATCTCAGCTCGGAGCCATGTTTCAGAAACACGTTGCCTGTGGAATAACATTAATTCACTTTATAATTAAAAGATTTTTTATATTCAGGACAGTTAATTGGTTTCCTCAGGTGTTTTGAGAAGAATTATTTACGACCTTAATTCAACAAACATTGAAACAACAAAATGGAAGAATGGAGACTAGAACCTATACTAAAAGAATACATGAACTAAACTAAGCGGTAGATACCCTCACCTATCTACTTTTGTTTAAGACAGTCCAAAAGCTCAAAATTGCCCTAAAATTGACTCGTCTATACACAAAAAAAGATCTAACACGCACCCGCGGTCTGTTGTGGGTTGATGCCGATCCCGTCATCAGTGATGATGGCGCTAGTGGCGGGCTCCACTCTGAACTCCTCCGCGGCGAACTTTAGCACTGCCGTAAATGGGGTCGCTTCGGGCACACTAAGTCTGAAAAGATATAAAAATCTATGAGTATGTAATGTTTTTTACATTTACTTGATTCACATCTGTGAATGGAGTAAGCTATTAAATTTTCTTTCTGAATATTCACGCAAATACTGACAATATTTAAATGAAACTATTTTATGGGTATCCTCTTGTTCTGTTATATAATAAAACGCAATAAACTATTGTACAATAAACGGTGACCAAATTATTTGATTTACATCCTTATTATAGAAAAAATTAATTTAAAGTTAGATTATGTTGTAAGCCATCAAATCCATAAAATAATTTTGTTAACATTTGTCTGTACAAACAATTGTTAGAGGAGATTCTTTCTTTCATCAATAAGTAGACATATTTCACCAAGAATATTTCGGCCTTTTGTTTATGAAGTATTTTTTTTTTGCCACCATATACTACAGCTTCATAGATTGATAGATATTATATAGATATATTGTCATTATATGATCATATGATCTCCATCCTACATTCATACTTTCATTGCTCATGCCTACATGTTCCAGTTTGAATGCAGTTATTATTTTATTATTAACTTTACGCATAGGTTTGTCATAGTCAAGTATTTTATAAATACTTATGAAATTTTTGCACAATTGGAAACTCAGAAATTATGTATAAGACTATTTTTAGGGTTCTGTACACAAAGGCTATAAAAGGACACTGTTACTAACACCCGGTTTCTGAAACACTGATCATCATAGAAGTCAACTAATCAGCTGAAGCCATTTGACAGCTGATTAGTTCTACAATGATCAGTTTATCAGAAACTGGGCGTAAGTCTGTCTGTCTGCCTGTATACAGCTTGTCTTTACCACCGCGACAATAAATGAACACACCTCTAACGCTACTTGCCAATAATCATAAGAAAATATTAACATTAAAAAAATCCATGGTTAAAAAAAAAATATTTTTCAAACAAACTAATTAAGTAAAAAAGAAACAAAATTTGTAACATCCTATACAAACTACAAATGACTGATTCACACATTCAGAGACTTTTTCATTCATTGCCACAGTGCCATTAAAATCCTCTCCTTCTAACAGTATGATTTGTCTCTTTTAAATTCATTCAACCCATTCATATGCTTTGTGACCTTTACAAATGAACTTTACATTAAAGTTTTAATTGAAAGGCTGTTCTAAAATTCTTTGTTTTGGAAAATTTGATAACTCGGTAAATATTAATGTTTAAAGAATGTAAATCTTTAATACAATTTTAAAAATTTATTCTCTATATGTGTGTTCATTTATTGTCGCGATGTTAAAGACATGCTGTATAATAACATGTAATTGCATGGAGCTTGCTGGACATTGTTTATTTTGACTTGATGAAATGGCAGTAGTAGATGTGAGTGAAAAATTAATATAAAGTAAAATCAAACTTAGGTATTTCAAATGTTTTCTGTTTATTACAATGCAAGCTATAAATTACACAATTTCATAATATTTTTTCAAGAAATCACAAATTCAAATTTATATACTTACTAATTCATAAAAAAAACTTCTTTATGCAATAAAATAATAAATTTTTAATATAGAATGAAAAATAGATACAAAATTAATTAAATTAGTCTTAGCGATATTTGAAGAAAACTCAGTTTACTAATAACAATTATAACACTATATTATTCCAGAAGGCCAAATCCAATTCATTATATCTGATTAATTCCAGAAATTCAAGTTTTAGATTTTCATTGCTACAAAGTTTCTGTGCGACTGCTGTTAGTTCAGAATATGTTAAGTCTATATAAAAATACTCTGCCGACATATTTTCCTTAATCAATTTACCACAATCTAACAATGCTTTAGTGAATAAACTGAATATGCTATTATGTTTAAGACACAATTCAACTAATATTTTCTCCTCTACCCTACATAGATGCTTCCACAAGCTTTTGTACCTTACATGTTTAGATTGCATTACTTCTATAAATGCACTGGCGATACTATTCACAACAGCAATATATTTTGTACTGTTGTTAAGTAAACATACAACTAACAACTCCACCACTTCATTATTTTTGCTTAACATTTCTTTGATATTTGGTTTACAATCTTCACAATTGAGCATTTCACATAAAAGGAATTCAGTTTTCAATTTCAAAATTGTATCAGTGGAGAACTCATTAGGTATATTTTTTAAAAGTGTCTCTTTAGATGCTGCTTCCAGAAAAAAACTACTCAAACAGTCCTCCAACTTTCGTTCAGAGAAAATTTCTACAAACAATTTGAAACTATCATCCATTTGACTGATATTGGATGATGAATTTATAATTTTTTTCAATATGTACTTTGGTGGATCTTGTAAACATGTTATTAACAAAATGTTGGGTACACTGCTCTCACTTAACGTCGAGACAAATTCATTGATTACAGATCTCTGCTGTAACTTATCTAGGCATTTAACAATATGTTGAGACATTAGGAATGCATTCCTCAATTCCTGCTCAGTTGTATCATCATTGGGCCAATTATCTAATTGGCATATTTGCAAAAAATCTTTAAAAAAGTCCAGAAATTGCCTAACGACTGCTGTTTCCATAGTGGTCACAAACAGGGCGAAGTAACTTCAACGTAGGAGCTTCATTGTCAGCATCTGTTAACAAATATGAATGAATTGTTGACAGATTTTATATTTGAATTAAGTCTTATATCACTTGCTTCGTTGATGTTACCTCAACTTGTTGGTGAAACTATTAAAATATGGTAATTATTAAAGATAAACTTACACTTTAAAGGGAAGTTTTGGATCTGATGTCAATGTAATTTTAAATGTCACTTTCGACCTGAAAATTATATATTTCATAGTTAAAAGACATTTTATTAATCCTTAATTTAAAATATTTTGCTTTTCAATACTTACATCGTGTGCTATTGTGCTTGAATTTATAAAGTAAAATTTATGTACTTTTGAAAATTATAATGTTACTAATGTTAGTGACGTATACACAAATCGCACGTTTTTGACAATGTCAATGCATTCCTATTAGTGTCAGCTGTCAAATTATTAGGGACGCACAATACATCGAAAGAACATTGGCCTTTAAAAAAATTGACATCGATGATAAAACCCAAAGAAATATCGATACATCTTCTTGAACGATGTTTAAGCATCAAAGTAGGGATGCCGAAAAATATCGATATATATTTTTAATTGTATCGATATTTTTGGCCGACGTATTTTGATCTGATATATCGATATAAAAAGTTGAATATCGAAATGGTATCTAAAACGATATTTCTATTCAAACTGATTCAAAGACGTAAAAGATAAAAACGAACGGAAAAGAAACTTATGTTAATTTATAAATAGCATGCAAAATATTAATGGCATCAACTAAAGTTACTGTTAAAGCGCCTGCGTCTTTCGTCCAGGCAACGTTTTCGAGTGTTAGATTAAGTTAATTTTAAGACAGGTTGTTAATCCTCCTTATGTTTTATTATTTACCCTCGTTGTCATTCGTTTTAATACATAGTAAGAATCGTCCGAAGTTAACTATCTAGTTGCATCATTTTAAACCCTTTCCCTATTTAAAATCCTTATATACTCCAACATGGTCCTTCGAGCCGGATATAAAATTAAAAGAACCAGAATTTGTTCTATAATATCGTTAAAAGAGGAGCTTTTTTTGAAAATTATATTTGGATTACGGAGGCAGCAACATAGATGTGGATCAATTTGCAGTAATTACGCGGTGTAAAAGTGTGGATTTAGTTATTATTTTTATCACCCAACGCTCTAATTAAGGTACTAGTATTTATTGTAAATCACTGGACTTATAAGGTTAGTCGCATTTATTATTATATACTGTTTCAATCGATTATCTTAAATTATTACCTATTTGTATTGTGGTTAACATTAGCAAGTTTGTAATACTTTGCAGTAAATAAGACAAAATAGTATTGTAAAAATACAGTTAGCGGTAAAGCTACATTATTTTGATTATTTACATTAGTCAATCACTTTAAATAAAGCTATGCAGTAGGAATCTAATCGTAGAAATAATTGTAGTATATAGGTAAATTTTGTTATTATAGCCTTTATAAGTTTTCAAATTAAATCCCACCGTAATAATCAAAATAATTATAGCACTGGACGATTGTTAGATTTATTTTCTAGGCAAATTAATCGTATAATTAATATATAGAACATTGATTGATTATTTATTACTTGTGTACCGATTATCTTCCCATTTCACTACTTGATTAATATTTTCGTGTGAGTACCTACATATTAACTGCGTTGTGTAGTTAAGTATTTACATAGCTGTCGAAGTTAGCATATATACATTTATTATTGTATACATTCCAGGTCGAATACTCTCGTCTTCCAGAATGACTGAGGAAAAGGAGTTGATTAAGAAGCGAGGTAGTTTTTAAAGGCCGTTTAAACTGCTTTTATCAGTTACTTAGATTCGCTGACAACACCTTTACAAAATCATGACGCGACAGAATTGCAATTGCGTATGGGTAAGCTGGATACATTGTATAACCAATATGATGAGGTTCAGTTACGTCTGGAATGTATTGTCGATAAACTCGACATACAATTAACGGAGCGTTCAAGCTTTGAATCCCAATATTACAAAGCGCTAGCCAAAGCTCAGAATTTATTGAGTGATTATCATAAAGCTGACGAGTCGGCATGTAGTGACAAGTGTTCTAGGTCCAGTAATCACAAACTTGTTAGGTTGCCTACTATACAATTGCCAAAATTCAGTGGATCGTATGAGAACTGGTTGGAGTTTCATGATACCTTCAATAGCCTTATTCACTCTAATGACGAGATAGATGAAATTAACAAATTTCATTATTTGCGTGCGTCTCTGGAAGGGTCTGCTGCTGTGGTCATTCAGTCATTTGAATTTTCTGCCAATAACTACACCGTGGCATGGAACGTTTTGTGTGAGAGGTTTAACAATAAGAGATTGTTAATTCAGAATCATGTTTCAGCCTTATTTAATATCGAAACTATTACTAAAGAGTCCTCTGTCACATTAAAACGTTTAATTGACCTGTTAAGTAAAAACCTTCGCGCATTGGAGTCTTTGGGCGAGCCTGTAAAGCATTGGGACACGCTTCTTATCTATATAGTTACGCAAAAACTAGATCAGAAAACCTACCGTGAGTGGGAGGAGTTTAAGGGTCGTCTAAATAAAGATGAATCGCTTACATTTGATTTGTTTCTTGAGTTTATGCGTAACCGGGCAGATTTAATCGAAACGTTAGAAATGTCGCGTAACATTCATTCAGTGTCGAATAAGTCGAATCTTAAATTAAAGTCCATGGTTTCGGTACAGCACTCATGTAACCCTAATGCAGATTCACCTAAAAGCTCTTGTCTGAAATGCAATGGAGATCACAATTTAGTCAATTGTCCACAGTTTCTCGCACTCAGCAATGAGGCTAGGTTGAAGTTACTTCCGTCTTATAAGATTTGCTACAATTGTTTTAAAACAGGACATTATGCGAACCATTGTAAAAAGCCAGGGTGCAAACTATGTAAGCGTCGACACAACACTCTCATACACGTCGCGGGACCGAAGGTAGGTGAGAACGTGCGTAGCGTAGACAATCGATCTATAGAGAGTGCAACAAGCAGAACACACTCGTCCGTGACGCCTGCCGCAACCACTGGGGTAAACAGCGTAGTGTTATCTACGAACCTCATATCATAGCCAACAACTAGACGTATTATTATCGACCGCCTTGATTAAAGTGCTAGATTGCAATCATGTTGAGCACGTCGCCCGCGCAATATTAGACAGTGGTAGCACGTCTAGCTTTATAACGGAGACTATGCGCCATCGATTAAATTTAGATTTTGTAGAGATAGATAGGTCGATTTTGGGCATAAATAACGTGACTTCTTACGTAGGCAAAAGGTGCAGTGTATATTTAAAGTCATTAGATAATAGTTATGCTGCTAACCTTCATTGTTTTATTTTGCCATCTATTACGAGTAATGTCCCAAGTCGCGAATTAAATTTATCGGATCTAAAGCTACCGTCTAACATTCTCTTTGCTGACCCCACATTTTATAAACCTGCCGAAATAGATATTTTAATCGGTGCTGATCTCTTTTGGGATTTGTTGGGGTCACAGAGAATTAGGCTAGGCATTGATCAGCCCGTGCTGCAGGAAACCAGGCTAGGGTGGATAGTCTCTGGCCCCATTAGTAATACTCATGCTGCATTTGCGACAAATAATACAGTAAAGTGTAATTTTGCCAAAACTGAATCTTATTATGATGATATAATTAATGACGTTCAAGCTGATTTAACGCGGTTTTGGCAGTTAGAAGAAATAAGTTCCAAATCATCTTATTATTCATCGGAAGAGAAGTTGTGTGAAGATCATTTTGTCAAAAATACGTCACGTCTCGCTGATGGACGTTTTCAAGTCCGTTTACCACTCAAACAAGATCCTGCGCTTTTAGGAGAGTCATTTAAAAGAGTTACGCGTTGCTTATTTTCTTTGGAGCGTAGATTAAACCGTAAAACGGACACCAAACATATGTATTATGATTTCATGTTTGAGTATCAGGCACTAGGCCATATGACTGTATGTGAAATGCCTTATTCGGGTGTAGGTTCATATTTTATACCACATCACGGAGTGCTACGTGAAAGTAGCACGACGACTAAACTCAGAGTGGTTTTTAATGCAAGTTTCCCTACATCGTCAGGTATTTCTTTAAATGAAATACAGATGGTCGGTCCTGTTGTTCAGGACGATTTGTTGTCGATACTCTTACGTTTCAGGCAGCATAGGTACGTTTTGTCTGCCGATGTGCAGAAAATGTATAGATGTATAAGCGTCCATCCCGATGACCGGCGACTACAGCAGATCGTCTGGCGGGACAATCTCCGTGATTCTGTTAAGATTTTTAAATTAAACACCGTCACTTACGGTACGGCGAGTGCGCCATTCCTTGCAACGCGCTGCCTTAAACAACTCGGTCTTGAGTGTACAAATAAAGACATAGGTGAAATAATAATGCACGACTTCTATGTCGATGACCTGCTTACAGGTGGTGATGACTTAGATAGCGTTAAAGTTATTCGTCAAGAAGTCACAGCTGTATTAGCCTCTGCCTGTATGCCATTACGAAAGTGGAGATCAAACGAACCTGAACTACTACCAAAGCTCGCGCAGGCATCACTAAATTTAAATATTGGATCTTGTGAGTCAAACAAGTTGTTAGGTCTTGGCTGGTATTCTGATTCGGATGAGCTTCACTTTCCATTAAATTCATTAATTCCCGATGGCAACAGCAAACGTGCCCTGCTTTCGGTAATTTCGCAAGTCTTTGACCCCTTAGGTCTTATGGCTCCTTATGTCATCACCATGAAAATGTTGATGCAAAGGTTATGGCTAGACAAGCTTTCATGGGATGAGCCCCTGACTCCAGACATTAAAAGGCTTTGGTATGGCATCATCAAACATATGCCTATTATTAATAACATTCGCGTTCCTCGTATGATTATTTGTGTGTCATACAAGGTGCTAGAGTTACATATTTTCACTGATGCGTCTGAGCGCGCATATGGTGCGTGCGTTTATGTTCGAAGCATTAATAACAAAGGAGAGGTTACGATTCGATTATTAATGTCTAAAAGTCGTGTAGCGCCAATAAAACCGATAACAATACCACGACTGGAGTTGTGCGGTGCCTTGGTAGGGGCTCGTCTTTATGAAAAGGTTGTTTACTCGCTACGTGTTAAGATTGATCAATTCTGCTTTTGGTCAGACTCCACTATTGTCTTAGGATAGTTGAAAATGTTACCTAGTAAGCTTCAGCCTTTTGTACGCAATAGAGTTGCTGAAATTTTAGAAAAGGTTGGTGACCGTCAATGGAGACATGTCCCAACTGATAAGAACCCAGCAGACCTAATATCTCGTGGTGTGGATATTAGTGTCCTGCCAGGTCTTGATTTATGGTGGTCGGGTCCTGATTTTTTAAAGCATGACTCATCAGAATGGCCTTCTCAGCCTAACCACGTTGAAATATTGCCTGAAATTCGTCATAATGTTTCATTAGCCGTTAATTTTAATAATACAGAAATTAATGAGTGTTTTATCGATTTTAGTCGTTTTTCGAATTATTTACGCCTTCTACGTACCGTTGCCTATGCTTTGCAATTTATAAGGTCCTGTAAAAAAGAGGTATTTACGGCTCTATTCTTAACAGACGATGAACTACGAAACGCGTTAAATATCGTAATTTCGGAAAGCCAAAATGATTCCTTCCCGGAGTACAGATTACTTTTGAGCAATAAAAATTTACCTAAGAAAAGTCCCCTTATTAAATTTAATGTATTTTTAGATGAAAAAAGAATAATGCGTGTCGGGGGTCGATTAGGTAATTCAAATTTTTCATACGATAAGAAGCATCCTATACTTTTACAATCCACTCAATGGTTCACGAAATTATTGTTTGATCATGAGCACAAAAGA